TCTCCAGCTGTGGGCATGGCCCCTGGGAGGCTGACTGGGTGTTCAGACACCGTGAGACACACCGTATTGAGTGCTAGGGCTTCCTCCACTCGGCTGCAGTATGCTAACAGATGGCGCCTCTTTTCTCAGTGGTGCTCTGCCCACAATGAGAACCAAGTTTCCTGCTCGGTGCCCACTATTTTGGAGTTCCTCCAGTCTCTCCTTGATAAGGGCCGCTCTCGTTCGACCCTTAAAGTGTATATTGCAGCAATTTCATGTCTTCACCGAACTGTTGACAACCGTACAGTGGGGCGCCATGAACTGGTTTCACTTTTTCTACGTGGTGCTCGTAGGTTGTGCCAGCAGCCAGCCCCACGAGCCCCAGATTGGGATCTGCCGTTGGTTCTCAAAGCTCTGTGCCACCCTCCATTCGAGCCTTTGGCACAAGCAGAACTCAAGTGGCTTTCCTGCAAGACTGCTTTCCTGATGGCTATCGTCTCAGCTAAGAGGGTCAGCGAGCTGCATGCTCTTTCTGTCAGCCCTAGGTGTATCAGGTGGAATCCAGATGGCTCTGGTGTTACCCTGTGGCCTAATACTGCGTTTTTGCCTGTGTGTTGTCTCCTTTTCACCGTAACCAGCCATTGCGGCTGGCTCGGTTTCAGCCTCAATCTGGTACAACTGAGAATGAGTCTGAGTTGTGCCCAGTAAGAGCGTTGGAGGCATACATTGCAGCCACCGCCAATCTGAGACGCTCGGACCAGCTTTTCCTATGCTATGGGGGTCCAAGGTTAGGCTGTCCTCTTTCTAAACAGCGTCTGTCCCATTGGATTGTGAGTGTCATCTGCCACGCCCACGCTGCTGGTCACTGCTCCCTGCCAGTCGGTGTGAGAGCACATTCCACCAGGAGCGTCACCGCTTCCTGGGCTGCTTTGAGAGGGGTTCCGCTGGAAGCTAGATGTGCTGCTGCTTCATGGGCTTCCCCAACCACCTTCACCAGGTTCTACAGTGTCAATGTGGCTGCCCCTCATCCCCTGGGTCAGGTCCTTTTACAAGGTTCTGCTGGGCCTCCTCTGTGAGGTATGTGCTCAGGATTCCTTGTGACATCGTTGGCATTAGTCATTCAGTGCTTTCAGCACCGCCCTCTGGCGGTCAGTAGGGATGAAATAGAACGAAAGTTACGTATGTAACTACGGTTCTATGAATCCCGGATGACCGCCAGAGCTTCTCTGTCACTCAGAATCCTTGCTTTTGCGAGAAGATTCTGTAGGAGCAGAGCAAAGGATGACACCAGGCTATATAGCTTCTGAGTGGTCATCCGGTGTCACAGGTGTGACTCTGTTGGTATAATTACTCGAACTGCGCATGCCCGAAGGGAACATTCAGTGCTTTCAGCACCGCCCTCTGGCGGTCATCCGGGATTCATAGAACCGTAGTTACATACGTAACTTTCGTTTTTTGCTCCCATTTCAGGGCATTTGAGATCATTTTAGCTGAACAGCCAATGATTTTCTGCACCTCTTTGTATGTTTTCCCTTCTTTAATCAATTTTTTTATTAGGAAACGCTCATCTTCAGAACAGTGTCTTGAACGACCCATTTTCCTTGTTTTTTCAGGACAAATGCACAGCCAGCATGCCAGTTGTCTTGATCCTTAAATACGGATCACCTGTTAACACCCTTTTTTCCCAGAATACCCTCCCTAATTGATGCCCTCTCTAATTGAACTCACCACTGCTATTTTTTTGAACACACCCTTTTCAGTTAATCATTCAATTTCACAGAATCCACAGTATGCATGGCTGTCCTGTTGGGTTTGTTGGTTTTCTATACCTTTATTTTACCCCCCAGAAACTTATCTGGGGTATAGAGTTTGAAATGTTAATAAAACAAGTGATTTTCTTGCTGCTGTTGAGGCACTTCTATTATTTCGAACACAACTGTAGGTAATAGGACAGTGGCCATGTGATGAGGGCGTGGCCATGGCAGTGAGCCTGTGGCGGATATTTAGTATTTAGTTATGCCCAATTTTGAAGCGTGGTCTGCACTATGTTATTCCACGCCACAACATAAGAGGGACAATCAGGAACTAGCTGTGGGTGTAGATACTGCCAAGGCGGGGGACCTGCGTTAACTGCGACACACAACCTGGTTTCTGAGTATAAACCAGTGTCAATGCTGCTGCTACGGAAGCTCTAGGGAACCAAAACTCTGGTGTTATACAAAAAAAAATCTATTTTTTTTTTTGTTGTTGTTTTTTTTTAAATTGAGTTAAACTGGTTATTTGAATCGATTTTCTTTTTTTCTTTTTTTTTTTAACCCAGGTGTAGTCACTACTTTGTAGAAGAAGAGAGAAAACACTTTGGTATACTGCTATCAAATAGCTGTAAAAGGGCGTCCAGGTGGCGCAGTGGCTAGTGCGCAAGAATTATGAACGGAGGCCTTATCCAGCCTATGGTCCTTTCCCGAATGTCTCTCTCATTCCCTCGTTCCTGTCAGCCTACTGTATGAAAAACAAGCCACTAGTGCTGTAAAAAAAAAAATAAAATAACTCCAGGGGGGAGCTTGGAAAGATGTGAGTTGGACTTAAACGTTAAAAAGTGTCAGAAAGAACAGAACCGAAGATGAATGTTTTAAAGTTCAGCCAGGGAGATCAAAGCGTATCATCCAGACGCTTAGCAAACAGGCGTCAGCCTGAGGCTGTGAGCTCGTATCAATGTTCCTGGTTAATCTGTTGTTTCAGTTTCCGTGATGGGCAGCGTTAATGTAGAACATGCTGTCTGTGATCTATCAGGGACATCCAGCGGATCAGACTGACATCGAAATTCAATCGCACCCGATTTTAGCTCCTGTCCTGAGAGGACTTCTCTTTGTAGTTAGTGCTATAAAATAACTGGGTTAAATATTTTCCCATATCACAAAAACTGCAGCAAAGATTCTGCAGAGGTCCAAAGGTGTTTTCTTTACGCAGGGTTTTAAAGGTTTATTTTCTTAAACCAGGTTTCTGCAGAGATGCTGCAAAGCTTTAAGTTTACACAGTTGGAAGGAGCTGTTCTGTTTTAAAGAATTTAGTTTCAGTAGAAGAGAAATGATGGGCTTTCCTTGGATGTGCAGACCTTTATTATTCTTCTATTTTCTTTCAGGTTTTGTTTTTCCACTTTTTTTGCTTCCTTTTGAGTTTTTTTTCCAGTGGCAAAACTGTTGGACAATAAAGGTTCTATTCTATTCTATTCTATTCTATTCAGCGTTATAGTCACCGTTTCTCAATCTGTGTACTTGTGCATTCTTGTATATTCGTGAAACATCATCAATCTCAGCCCTAATAGTGTAACAATTCACAAGAAAGCAGACCAAGAACGGGTAAAGTCCCCGGATGTTGTTCTCACCCCTCCCTTGTTACCCAGCATGCATCAGAGCAGACTTGTCTGTTCTCCAGATTGACAGCTGTCCCAGCATGCACTGCAGCAGGAGGAGCTTCCTGGATGGCGCTCTCAGAGCTCAGAGTATTATGTTAAAACATTTCTCTGTTGCTGTTGTTCGATAAAAGTATGTTTTAAGATCATTTGAGAAGAAAACCTTATACTTTTAAGCGCTTTTATGGCCCATTTACTAATTTAGTGCTTCATGTAAAAAAATATTCCAAAGTTGAGAGGACTGCGGCAACCAGCGGCACTCCAAGGATATGCTATACAGGTCTAATCCTGGCCGGTCTGCAGCAGCCAGGGCTAAAGGCCAGTGTCTTCAATTCAATAACAGTGGAACAACAGAACCTAAAAATACGTAAACTTGAAACTTTTTTTCTGTTGATGAACTGCATCAAAATGAAGAACTTATCAGCCTAGAAATGCATCAACTGCAGACAACATGTACCAAATACCTCCCCATTCTGCCCTCCACTGGATGAGCCGTTTGGCTTTTCATGCCTCGTTCTCCTGGAGGCCACGCCCCCAAAAACATGACAACCAGTCAAAGTTCATGAAGATAGAGCTCGGAGTGTGCAATAATAGTATTCTCCTTCTTCATGAGGACCCTGCGGAAGAACCATCTGTCCACAGAGATCCTCACGAACTTCTACCGCTGCACCATCGAGAGCATCCTCACCAACTGTATCACAGTTTGGTATGGGAACTGCTCTGCCTCGGACCGGAAGGCGCTGCAGAGGGTGGTGAAAACCGCCCAGCGCATCGCCGGGGCACCGCTTCCTGCCATCCAGGACATCTACAGGAAGCGGTGTCTGAAAAGGGCCGGGAAAATCAGCAAGGACCCCACTCACCCTGCACACAGACTATTCTCTCTCCTGCCCTCTGGGAGGCGTTACAGAAGCATACGGACTAAAACCACCAGGCACCGGAACAGCTTCTTCCCCACAGCTGTCACGCTTCTGAACGCCTCATGACACGAACTATAAGGACTGTACTCCCATCCCCCTACACAACAATAACCATGGACGATCCTCACACATACCACAAACTGCTTCCTCACACGCATTCACAATCCGTGTATATAATATGTCAACTTGTACCATACATTATAACCCCACTAATATATATATTTATATGATCCAGGTAACATCTCTGTATAGTTGTATACATGTATATAGTGTCTATATTCATTTACAGCCTCAATCACTGTTAATGCTGTTATACTGTTTATACATACATTTTATAGTCTATTTATACATACCCTCTGTACACTTGTAATGCATATTTATATCCTGTATAGCACTTCTGGATAGATGCTAACTGCATTTCGTTGCTTGTACTTGTGACAGTGCAATGACAATAAAGTTGAATTCTATTCTATTCTATTCTATGACATCATCAGGGGAATACTTTTCGAACAGCATTTTGGTAGAGAGGAAATGTTTTTTTTTCTTTCTGGACACGTGACTTGTACTAAATAGAGTGAACTTTGCATAATTTTGGACCTTTAAACATTTTATTAATGATTTTGTTTATGTTGGTTCCAAATGATGAGTTTTGCACATTTCTTATGAGTTATTCTTTATTTCCTGTAACTGATCAGGACCTCAGACGGATGGACGCAGCCTGCCGCAGTACGCCATCACAGCAGGCACTGCAGCTATGAACGCCCAGAGGCTTCTGCGAGCTCTCAAACTGCAGAGGCCTGTGCTGCTGGAGGGGTCCCCCGGCGTGGGAAAAACCAGCCTGGTGGCGGCGCTGGCCAAAGCCTCTGGAAACCATCTGGTCAGAATCAACCTGTCGGAGCAAACGGTAAGGCTCTGCCTGCGTTCAGAGAGCAACGCTCAGCAGGATCCGACGTGGCGTTAACGGCGTGCACTCTCTGGCAGGATGTCACTGACCTGTTTGGGACAGATCTTCCTGTGGAGGGGGGGAAAGGAGGAGAGTTTGCGTGGCGGGATGGCCCCCTGCTGGCTGCTTTGAAGGCCGGCCACTGGGTGGTTCTGGATGAGGTAAGATCATCCAGCTTTAGTTTTTACACTTTGAACAAGGTTCTCATTCACTTTAGGTAAATGCATTTACAGAAGAAGTTTAAAATGTCGGACATGGAGCATAATCCCTTTCATTCAGTCTATAATGCTGACTGAGAAAGGAGGTGGTGGTCTATTGCAGAGGAAGATGATGTGAACAGAAGATCTGCTTCTTCTGCCTGCAGCTCAACCTGGCGTCTCAGTCGGTGCTGGAGGGTCTGAACGCCTGCTTTGACCACAGAGCTGAGATCTACATCCCTGAACTGGGCATGAGCTTCCAGGTTCAGCATGAGAAGACCAAGATCTTCGGCTGCCAGAACCCCTTCACCCAAGGCGGGGGGCGCAAAGGGCTGCCCAAATCCTTCCTCAACAGATTCACCCAGGTCAGGCCCCTGAGTATTTTTACACTTAAAATAAGATAATTAGATACATTAAACTTGAAATAAGACAATGTAATTGTGTTTTTCTTATTTTAAATGTAAATTGTCTCGTTCCATTGGCAAAGTGTCTCTTTTATCATCTCAGTCCAAGAACAAATGCATTTATTTTAAGAAAAAATGACTTATCTAGATTTAGATTTTTCTCCAGTGTAACCACTGTGTTTACTGACTCGCTTTTCCGTTTTCTTCCCAGGTTTTTGTGGACCAGCTCACCAGCAAAGACATGGAGTTCATCGGAAATTCGATTTTTCCCTCCATTGATACGGAAATCATTGGGAAAATGGTTGAATTCAATAACAGGGTGAGTTTGAACTGATCCCCCCAGAGAATGAAGCTGTATCTGCTCTTTATGGTCAGAAATGTCTCCAGGTAACCATGTCTGCCGCTGTTAATCACTTTGTTCACTATTAGCTAAATAGTGGGAGATTAAAGCTCAATCGTCCGCCCTCCAACTCAGTGTGTTTGTCCTGATGCCTGACACTGGTCTTCCTCTTTATCTCATCTTCAGAGTCACTTACCCCCAATAAACTTCTCTATTAACTGGAGCTGTGCTGCAGGGAGCTCCTCCTACTGAGCCAGGCGTTTTAATCCTTTCTGTTAACTTTAACCTTTCTACTGCGCCCTTTAGAGTCTGGGAGAAGGTTTTCTGCTTGTTTTCCATCAGGCTAACATTTTCTTATTTAAAGCAACTGTTTAAAGATCCTCTTTATGTTGTTCAGAGCTTCTTTTTCAGGCCTCCTGCTCTGATAGAAACAGGTCTCCTCATTCTCCTTTCTGCATTGAGTTAGATTCTAATATAATGACACGCAGCGGCGGGTTTAGGAAATTTGGGGCCCTGGGCAAAGACAGGCAGGGGGCCCTCTGCATGGAGAAGACAACACATAAACAGCCCCATTCTACAGATAGAGAAATGTTAATAGAATAGACATCCATTATCTGTTCTAGGTTGTGTCCCTCTCTTCTTGTCCCTTTTCTTCTTGTTTTCCTCTCTATGTTTTGTACTCAGCTGACTTTTCATGCTGTCTCTAAAGGAATGAAAGATTTTTTCCAAGCACTAAGCTCACTAGAGTCAAAAAATCTCATTCCATTGGCAGATCATGCTATTTACCTGCTCAAATTAAGGGTTAATAAACCTAATTTAAGAAATTTGTACCTATTTCTAGATCGTTTTAGCAGTGTAAAAAACACATTTAATATTTTAAGCGTTCTAAAGGCATTTTAGCCAAAGGATTGTTATTAAAAACTTAATTAATGTGCACAAATAAGGAAGGATAGTTGTATTAACCATATATGTAAACAGAGTTTTTGGGGCCACCAGGAACTTGGGGCCCAAGGCAACTGCCAATTTTTGCCTAATGGTAAACCCCCCCTTGATGAAACGGATGTTTTTCATGTGTCTAAGATGTGAGACGGAGCAGTAAACAGGCCTTTTCCATCATAAATGAGTCGATTTATTAAACCTAATCTGATTCATCTACTTATTCCTTCCAATATAAGCAGCTGTCTAATCCAGCTCATGTTCTTCTGTTGCCTGATAAACCGGGGTGTGCGTGGCCCCTGGCCCCTCTCTGACGTCCCTGTCTCGCTGCAGCTTGTTCAGCAGGTGTGCGTGGAGAGGCTGTGGGGGCAGAAGGGAAGCCCCTGGGAATTTAACCTGCGGGACATTTTCCGCTGGTGTCAGCTGATGCAGACCGATCAGTCTCCGGGATTTTTTAACCCAGGCCAGCATGTAGCCCTGGTGTATGCTGACAGAATGAGGACTGAGGCGGACAAGGCCAAGGTAAGCTTTTCATAGGACTAACAAACAACCTTTCAAAGATGTGAAATCTGAAAAACCAACAAGACAAATGTTGATTTTCTGCTCTTGGTAAAGTTCTAACCTGCTCACTTTGCTCTGCTACAGACTCTAAGCTTTTAATAACTTGCTTTTTAAACACTTCAATGATGCTAAAAATGTTTGAGTCTCTTCCCCTCAGCAGCATCTTCATGCAGACTCTGTCAGTGCATCTGTATGAAACAGCAGCTGATCAGTGATCACTGAGGGTCCTCCTGTCCCCCACAGGTGCTGTTGGTGTTCAGGGAGGTGTTTGGGGAAGACTACGAGCCTTACTGTGGCTCCAAAGAGTTTCATATCACTCCTCTCAATGTGCAGGTTAGTCTACACCATTTACACTCACAGATGATTAAATATATGCACAGGGGAAGTACTTCTAAGATGCTCATAGAGGGTATTTACCACACTCACATAGGAACTATTAGGACAAACATGTAGGAGGTACTTATTAAATACACACCATATATTTATTACTATTTATCATTGTTATATATATATATATATATATATATATATATATATATATATATAGGTGATTTTTGGCATGGTGTTTACATTCAAAATGTCCTTGGCTGGTCCTTGGCTTGCCCTTGGTTGGCCCTTGGTTGACCCTTGGCTGGTCCTTGGTTTGCCCTTGGTTGGTCCTTGGTTGGTCCTTGGTTGGTGCTTGGCTGGTCCTTGGTTTGCCCTTGGTTGGTCCTTGGCTGGTCCTTGGCTTGCCCTTGGTTGGTCCTTGGCTGGTCCTTGGCTTGCCCTTGGTTGGTCCTTGGCTGGTCCTTGGTTTGCCCTTGGTTGGTCCTTGGCTGGTCCTTGGCTTGCCCTTGGTTGGTCCTTGGCTGGTCCTTGGCTGGCCCTTGGTTGGTCCTTGGCTGGTCCTTGGTTTGCCCTTGGTTGGTCCTTGGCTTGCCCTTGGTTGGTCCTTGGCTGGTCCTTGGCTTGCCCTTGGTTGGCCCTTGGTTTGCCCTTGGCTGGTCCTTGGCTTGCCCTTGGCTGGTCCTTGGCTGGTCCTTGGCTGACCCCTGGTTGGTCCTTGGCTTGCCCTTGGTTGACCCTTCTTTGGTCCTTGGCTGCTCCCCTACAATTCCTTTTAAACATCAATCTTTGTACGAAAATATTCTTTCTGTCATGATTTGTGGACATAAAGATCTAAAGAGAAGCGCCTTCTCCTGGTCAGACCCTGTAATTCAGTGATAGGGTGGAGTCAGAGTAACATAAATGTAAACGCCCAGGAGAAGGCCAGTAGCTGGAAGGTGGGCCATCTCTTTATGGAAGGGCCATTTTGAATGGCTGCTACTGCAGGAGGCTGAGATGAGGGATCTGGAGTTAACAAGTTATCTCTAGGTCATGTATTTGTTCTTCCAGCCACTGAACCAGGTGAGTCTAGTCTGGTTTAACCTCTGCAGACATAGAGATGACCATAATCCCACCTCTGATAGCAGGTACTTCTAACATGCACATAGGAGGTATTTTATTACATACTGGATATATTTAGCAGACCCGCATAGGAGGATTTCATTGCATACTAATAGGTAGGTTTTGTTTTTTGATGCTGTAGGTTGGCTTCTCTGTACTACAACGCTCCGGTGGGGCCCCCGTGACCCTTGACCCCCCGCTATCTGTCACACACCAGTGCCTGAAGCCGTTGGAGTCGTTGATGAAGTGTGTGGATATGGGCTGGATGACCATAGTAGTCGGTCCAACAGCCAGTGGGAAGACCGGCCTGGTGAGACTGCTGGCTCTGCTCACAGGACATCGTCTCAGGGTCATGGCCATGAACAGCGCCATGGACACCACCGAGCTCCTGGGGGGGTTCGAGCAGGTAGCCATCGACCGGCAACCATTATAGAGGGAAAAAATGGAGGAGTCGGTTTGAATCTGTTTTCCTCTCCACAGGTGGACATCATGCGCCCGTGGCAGCAAGTGTTGGAAATGGTTGACTACACTGTTGCCATGGTAACGAGGCGTGGGCTGATGTCTCTGGACGACGGCACCCAGGACACTCAGTTCCTGCTGCAGACGTGGGGCGTGTTCTGCCATTGGTTGAGAGAGAGAGGCCTCCAGAGAGCTGGAGGGACGGTGACCTCCGAGGCCGTCAACAAGCTGGAGGTCATCATCGTCCTCCTGCAAAAACTCAACACCAAACTCAAAGTGTTCACCGGTAACCGCCACGCCCCCCCCTCCTGCTCAACCCTGGTGATGCATGCTGTGCCTTAACGTAGACGTCTTTACCTTCAGACATGTCCAAGCTGCAGATGGACTTCACTCTTCTGAAGGAGCGTCTGGCTCAGCTGGAGGATGGCTGGACTAATGGCGGCTTCGAATGGTTGGATGGGATGTTGGTCCAAGCCCTGCAGGCCGGTGACTGGCTGCTAATGGACAACGTCAACTTCTGCAGGTAGCATTGCTCCTCCAGCTGCTGTATGGGATGATGGGACGGCGCTGACGGTGCTCTCTCTCCTCAGTGCCTCCGTCTTAGATCGCCTCAATGCTCTGCTGGAGCCCAACGGATCACTGGCCATCAATGAACGCGGTGTCATCGACGGGAAGACCCCCAGGATCACCCCACATCCCAACTTCAGGTTAGCACTGAAGGTCGTTCACAGGTTCCGCTGGTTCTTGCAGTTTCTAAGAGTTTTGGGTTAATTGCTGCTGGCTTTGCAGGCTGTGCCTCACCATGGACCCGGTTCATGGGGAGCTGTCCAGAGCAATGAGGAACAGGGGGGTGGAGATCTACATCCCAGGGGAACATGAGGGGATGTGCTGGGACTCGTTAGACCTAAAGACTCTGCTCCACTCTGCCGGCGTTCCCGGGGACTGTGTGTGTGAGCTGCTAATGCAGATCCACAGAGGCATCCGCTCTGCCATCTGGGGTAAGCTCAGCGCCTGGAAATCCACCTCCTTTTATTGGGGAGGATTCTAAGACGCTCTTTTCTCCTCTCCCCAGACTCCCCGGCCTCCTCTGTGGCGTCCCTCCTCTACGCCGCCTCCCTGCTGTCCTCCCAGCTGCAGAGAGGTGCAGATTTGCGCGGCGCCCTGCAGCACGCCTGTGCTGAGGCCTACTCATTCTGTCAGCGCACCGTCGCTAACCAGAAGGTATCTAATCCCTGATTCAGGTCATCACCTCCTATCAGACCCTGCAGCATTAAGGAAAATCAACATTTATTGAAGTGCAACAACAAAATAGAGGGAAATATTTTAGGGTAGATGCTGCGAATCATTGTAACAATGATGATCATTCATTGAACACTATGTAGTAATTTCATATTTAAAGTAATTTCCGAAGTTTGAATTCTGAATATGACCGGACTTTTCCTTTAAAGCAGAATGGCAGCGATAGAGAAGACAAATATTGTTTTAAAGGCTCTTTTCTCTTTCAGCGAGCCCAGCAGGTGATTGAGGAGCACTTGGCCATCCAGGATGGGGGGGATTGGGGTGATGGGCTGCTGTGCGCCGGAGTTTGGCCCGACGGCCTCCCATCAGCTCTTCTATCCACCGAAGATTCATGCTTCTCGTCTGTTCTAAGAGACGGGCAGGTCCTCCTCTTCTGCCTTAACTCCCTCAGCCTGCAGGGAAAACGGTAAAAACGCAAAATGCAACAAAGAGAAAGCAGAATTGTTCCTTTTTTTTTTACCAGAATAAACGTCTTAGGAGTCACTTTAGTCTAATTCGGTTGAGGGTTTATTCAGGAATTCTCCAATGACACTGAGGGACCTGCAGCAGGCCATGCAGAGCGGCGGCGTCCGTGAAGACTCTGTGTTCTCTGGAGGAAAGCTGGATCAGGAGGAGGGAGATGCGCTCAGACTGCTTCCCACTGCAGTCAGGCTGGTGACGGAGAGAGCCTCTCATGGAGATTGGATTCTTCGCAGCAGCTGGCTCTCTCACCTGAGCAAGAGCTTCAAATATCTCCCTGGTTTGTTCCCTTCTTTACACGACGGCAAACAGTGGAAGGTGTAGAATCTTTAAAAGCTGTGTGATCTGAACTCTTTCAGAGCCAGCGCTGGTCCAGGTGGAGGCAGGAAACCGTTCCCTGAAGGCTGTGTTCAGCAGCAGCCTCGCTGTAAAGGGCAGAACGCTGGCAGAGCTGCTCCAGCCTCACAGCAAAGGTGAACAGGCTCCTCCTCGCTCTGTTCTGTCCAGCTGGCTGACACAGCTGCTCTCCTGGAAGCATTTCTGTCTGTAGAAACCCATTTAAAAGCCTTAAAATATTTAAAACTGTGTTGCAGTCCAAGGCTGGAGTATTAATGCAACCTGATAAGTTCTCGGGGAGGAGGAGGAGTAGCAACAATCTTTCAGTCGGACTCACTGATTACTCAAAAGTCAGCAAATAATTACAACTCTTTTGTAACTTTGTATCGTCCACCAGGTCCTTACTCTGAATTTTTAGATGAGTTTTCAGATTTCCTTTCTGATTTGGTATTAAATACTGACAGGGTCATCATAGTGGGAGATTTTAACATCCATGCTGACATTGAAGGCGATAGCTTAAGAGCAGCCTTTAATGCTATCTTAGACACTATTGGCTTTGTTCAAAATGTGAATAGTCCCACGCATTCTCATCTTCATACTTTGGATCTTGTGCTGACATACGGCATAGAATGTGAAGAAATAACAGTATTTCCTTACAATCAGTTATAAATTTTAAACAATCTATTTCACTTTCTCTCTCCTCTGTCGCTGAGCAGTGCTGCAGAGAGAAAAAGTTACGTTTATTCCCCTTCACAGTTTGGTGATTTTTTTGATGGGGTTGCTAGTTCTCTGCGTACTGCCTTAGACAACGCAGCCCCTTTGATAAAGAAAAACTTTACATATAGAAAGCTGGCTCCCTGGTTTAATGGGAACTGTATATTGCCAAGAGATGACATGTGTTTTGAATTGGCGCTATAGAAACTGAATTAAATGTGATGTTGCAGATGAATACAGGATCCTGATGGACATGCGCTGGAACAAACAGTACCTGGACATTTTAACCAACCAGTGCAACTTTGAGGATGAGGAGAGATACACTGAGTTTCTAGAGGCTCTGAATGCAGTGGCCAACAGGTAAGGAGGACTGACCCAGAGCTCACATGTTAGCTAACGAGAGTAAAGAGGAGACTAACAGCTGCTTCGTTTGTTAGGATTGTTCTGATGATGGAGCGGGAGGAGCGAGCCGTCACCTGCTCCTCTACCATCGAAGCAGCTCCTCAGAGTTCTGCTATGAGAATCTCCACAGCCTTCAGCAAAGGTACCGCCCTCCAGATCAGGAGCTTTAGATGTAAACTGCTTCAGTTTCACACGAGCTGAATCTAAAGAACTGAAGACCTGTTTGTTTTCGTTTTTTTTATGATTTATTTGTATTTTTCTTGAAAACAAAGCAACACAATAGAACAGAATGGGGCTCTGTTCAAAGTAGCATGACAAATATAAACAACAGACTGGGTTAAACAGAGACTTCAAACCTTTTCTTATACAGTGGGGCAAAAAAGTATTTAGTCAGCCACCAATAGTGCAAGTTCTCCCACTTAAAAAGATGAGAGAGGCCGATAATTTTCATCATAGATATACCTCAACTATGAGAGACAAAATTAGAAAAAAAAAATCCAAAAAATCACATTGTCTGATTTTTAAAGAATTTATTTACAAAATATGGTGGAAAATAAGTATTTGGTCAGTTACAAAAGTTCATCTCAATACTTTGTTATATACCCTTTGTTGGCAATGACAGAGATCAAACGTTTTCTGTAAGTCTTCACAAGGTTTTCACACACTGTTGCTGGTATTTTGGCCCATTCCTCCATGCAGATCTCCTCTAGAGCAGTGATGTTCTGGGGCTGTCGCTGGGCAACATGGACTTTCAACTCCCTCCAAAGATTTTCTATGGGGTTGAGATCTGGAGACTGGCTAGGCCACTCCAGGACCTTGAAATGCTTCTTACGAAGCCACTCCTTCGTTACCCGGGCGGTGTGTTTGGGATCATTGTCATGCTGAAAGACCCAGCCACGTTTCATCTTCAATGCCCTTGCTGATGGAAGGAGGTTTTCACTCAAAATGTGACGATACATTGCCCCATTCATTCTTTCCTTCACACGGATCAGTCGTCCTGGTCCCTTAGCAGAAAAACAGTCCCAAAGCATGATGTTTCCACCCCCATGCTTTTCACTGTAGGTATGGTGTTCTTTGGATGCAACTCAGCATTCTCTCTCCTTCAAACACGACGAGTAGAGTTTTTACCAAAAAGTTCTATTTTGGTTTGATCTGACCATATGATATTCTCCCAGTCATTGTTTGGATCATCCAAATGCTCTCAAGCAAACTTGAGACGGGCCTTGACATGTACTGGCTTAAGCAGGGGGACACGTCTGGCACTGCAGGATTTGAGTCCCTGGCGGCGTAGTGTGTTACTGATGGTAGCCTTTGTTACTTTGGTCCCAGCTCTCTGCAGGTCATTCACTAGGTCCCCCCGTGTGGTTCTGGGATTTTTACTCACCGTTCTTGTGATCATTTTGACCCCACAGGGTGAGATCTTGCGTGGAGCCCCAGATCGAGGAAGATTATCAGTGGTCTTGTATGTTTTCCATTTTCTAATAATTGATCCCACAGTTGATTTCTTCACACCAAGCTGTTTACCTATTGCAGATTCAGACTTCCCAGCCTGGTGCAGGTCTATAATTTCGTTTCGGGTGTCCTTTGACAGCTCTCTAGTTTTGGCCATGGTGGAGTTTAGAGTGTGACTGTTTGAGGTTGTGGACAGGTGTCTTTTATACTGATAACGGGTTCAAACAGGTGCCATTAATGAAGGTAACGAGTGGAGGACAGAGGAGCCTCTTACAGAAGAAGTTACAGGTCTGTGAGAGCCAGAAATCTTGCTTGTTTGTAACTGACCAAATACTTATTTTCCACCATATTTTGCAAATAAATTCTTTAAAAATCAGACAATGTGATTTTCTGGATTTTTTTTTCTCATTTTGTCTCTCATAGTTGAGGTATATCTATGATGAAAATTACCGGCCTCTCTCATCTTTTTGAGTGGGAGAACTTGCACTATTGGTGGCTGACTAAATACTTTTTTGCCCCACTGTATTCATGCCATTTAGACCAATGCTGTATAAAAACATGTCCTCCATAGAAAGGAAGTCATCGAGTATATTTCTCTAATAGTTTCTAGCACTTGCTCAGCTTGGGGAGGATCTTTTTTAAAGTCGTAGGGAAGTCATATTCAAATTTCAAATCATTCTGGCTTAAACATGTATATAAATGTTCTCTTTATCAAACCATATTGTCCCAAAAGTTAGAAATTTTCTATTTTAAAAAAAAATCCTGTCTTAAAATCTGTTTTTTTTGTTATCTTCTGCAGGCCAGTTAGTTCTACGTCAGCCTGAACACCTAAATTAGGCCAATCATATATCAATGGTCATCTGTCAATCAATTTTCTTTCAGTCATAGCATCTTGATTCGTATGTTGCAGCTAATATACGCAAAGGTTGAAATCAGAATCCTTTCCTTTCCCATTGAGTTCCGTCCCAGTGTTCACGGGGTTGGACGTCTGTGTCTTCAGCAGGCGTAGAGCTAACAGAACTGGCAGCGTTGCGAGGCAAGGGCTCAAACATGTACGGCTGGAAGCCTTCTACACCAAACCAAGCTTCTGCCGCCCTGGCGTCCTCTTCCACAACATCTTCATCCCCGCTTTCCTCCTCTAAATAAAAAATGTATGAGGGAGGAGACTCATCCACGACCTCCGACACTAAACTCTCCTCCTCTTGCATGTTTCCTCTGTCCATAGCGTTCCTTGACAGCGTCGTTTCTAAGTCACCAATTTAGTGCTACTTGGTCCCAACGGAATTTCCCATTGGGAACCTACTAGCACTAAGTTGCTAACTGGTTAGCAAGATGCTTCCGACAAGCTGACAATGAAACTTGCTTGTGAAAAAAACCAATCACATTAACTTTATTAACTCGGTGTAAAGTCGGGCACCACTCGGGAGAATTCTGAACTGCACCGGTTGGAACAGCAGCTTCCTTACAACTTTAAGCCAGTTTTTTGTTATGGCCTTTTTCAGAACAGAATTTTGAAGAGGTCTGTCATCTTTTGGGAATAGCTACATGGATAGCAGACCCAACAGAAAGATCCTTAGGAACAGCATAAGCATTAAAGTCATCCATGAGCTTAGAGAAACTGTCTCAGAATGCTATTAAACATGTGCACGTCCAAAAGATGTGGTAGCTATAGGCTAATGAGTGATCACACAGTCTCCATCATTGTTTCTGATGCTCCGGAAATGAATGAGTAATATGAGGAGTTATAAAATATCTAATTAGGTTGTTCCACCCAAATTCCCTCCACCATGAAGGATTATTTTTCAAACCTCACTTTCTTCCTGTTCATCTGAGTCGCATCTTTTCTGAAATGATGACATCATAAGTCTCTCTCTCATTCACATCTTTGCAGCCATGTAGCCATTTTTACTTTATCGGTGTGTTCCTGTGTCACAGCACCACCAGTGGCGTGGCGTGTGTACTGCATGTGTTCCCAATGTGTTTGTATTCCTGCTGATCTAAGGGGGACGTTCTCTTCCCCATCAGGAACCATAGACATCAGTCAGCTGCCTCACCCCATGTTGATGCACCTGCGGCTTTTCTTCGACCTGTGGGACGCCTACGTGCTGCAGGCCGTGCAGAGTGGACTGCCCTACATCTCTGATCACGTCATGTTTGAGGTCAGAGGTTATTATGATTCTGCCATCATTCGCCTAAACTCAGAAGAAAATGACCTGAACGCCAAGCGAGGCGTTCGTTTATTGTCCTTATTGCCAGCAGCCTGTTTAGGCTCAATCAGCTCCACTTGAAGCCTTAATCTCCCCTTCGCTCCTGAGTTCAGATCAGGTCCCTCAGGCTGCTGCTGTTTTCTCTGGAGCATCACCGGTGGATCTGACCTTGGCTTCCTCTTCGTCCTGCTGTAGATCCTGCAGCTGCTCCAATGGCGCGACCGTTTCTGGGACGTGTGCGTGGCGCTTCCTGCCGACTCTCAGGGCGTCGCAGTGCTGTCTCTGCACTGGCAGTGGGTGCAGAAGCACCTCATCCTCCGCCTTCCTCAGCTGCTGATGGGAGACACGGCTTCGACCTTGGAGTAAACGCTCTTTTTCTCCACTCTACTCAACAATCAGTGTTAGTTTACAGACTCTGACCAGTGTTTCTGCTTGCTCTATGCAGAGGTCAGCAGGAGCTGCAGGCCGTCTCTGCAGCCATCCAGAACATGATATCCACCCCGGTGTCTGTGGCTGCTGCTCTGAAAGGCATCCAGAGGTCTCTGGGGAAAGCTCTGCCATTCAAGGTGAGGAAAACGTTCTTAATTACTCTCATTAGCAGACGGTGGGATGAAGCTGAACACGTTGATCCTCTCTCTCCTCCAGCTGGAGTCGGTGGCTGAGTGCGCTTCTCGCCTGCGGCTCCTCAGTAAAGCTCTGGATGCTAACGAGCTCCGGCTGGACGGCTCCTTCAGCAGCTGGAGGCAGGAGCTGATCCAACTTCAGGGCGCCGGACTCTGGCTGGATATAAAGGAAAGCCTCCTAGAAGCATCGGGTCTGGTTCTGTCAGCAAACAACCAGCTGGATCCACAGCAGTCTGGTAAACCGTCTCCTTCACATTTACAGCCTGTATTTGGATTGTTTCACTCCTCAATGAACGTTAACTATCTAAGGAAAACCAGTTGATTGCATCGACTCATTGACTCTTCAGCAACCCCTCACACTAAGCATGCTTGTAGCGACAGTGGAGAGGAAAAACTCCCTTTGAACAGGAAGAAACCTCCAGCAGAACCAGGCTCAGTGTGAGCGGCCATCTGCTGAGGCCGACTGGGGTTCAAGGAGACAGAAGCAGACATAGAAAAAGAAGCATAGATACAAAAAGCAGCTGTAAAAGGCGGCCCCGTCCAGGAAACACACAGCCAGGCAGACGAGCTCTGAGCCAGCTCCCATGTCAGAGGATGAAGAGAGCACATCCAGTTAGTCACAGTCAGAGAAACAGGACTACACTGAAAAACAGGCCAAGCTCCAACATCTATAAACAAAGGTGTTGATGGCAGCAGCACAGCTGATATTTCTCTCCAGGATGGAGTCACAGCCAAACAGGAACAGACCAGATAAAGCTGCTATGAGAAAAAGCAGAGAGAGCAGAACGTTAGAGATTGAACTAACAGATTCTGCAGAGTGGGAGAATAGAGATAGAATGAGCAGATTGATGAAAAAGGGGTCCCTATGTCCTCCAGCAGTCTAAGCCTATTGCAGCATAACTATAGAGTGCCCTCTCTATGATGATTTCCAGCAGGAAACCCCTCTGCATTTCTCTTCTGTTGCCTGTTCAGAGTGAAGGGGATGCTGTAAAGTTATCTTTCCAAACTAAAACAGCAACGAGTGTTTGGTTTCAGATAGCTGGAAGAAAATGAAACCCAGTAGATTCCTAATTGGATATATTTTTGCATTTAAGATTGAAAAATGGAATAAAACAACATTTTTTTGTTTTATGCCCTCTTTAGGGACACTGGAGAAGCTGGTGCTCATTGTGGAGCAGCAGCAGTATCACATGACCTCCAAAGGACTCACTGGGACCAGACCCACGTCTGATGGGGAGGAACCAGAGGCTGGAGTCCTGATGAGCAGAGAGGAGCTGCTGCAGCTGAGGGGAAAGACTCAACTGTGGCCCCTGATGGAGGGACTGTCGGCCCTCAACCAGCTGCGGCTCTGCACAGACCTGCTGCTCCTGGCTCTGTCTCCGGGGTAACCTGCCCATTTTCTTTCTGCTGATCCAAATGTCCAAAGTGTGACTTTGTTGGAAACAGCTGTGGTTTGTCTCGTTGCCTTAGCGACCACAATGCGGAGGTCTGCTTACGGCGGCAGCTTTCCAGACATCTTCGCTTCTGCCTTCAGTCGACGCCGATGAATGTGGGGCAGCTGCAGTGTCTGTGGTTCCTGCTGAGCAGCGACGGGGTCAGTATTCATGTTACAACGTCCTACCAAACCCTGTCTCTGTTATTAGAAGGTCGCTCTAATCTGCATGGAGGCTGTGTTTCCACTCTAGTAAAACAGCCTCCAAACACATCAATTGTGAGGCTACTGTCACACCTTGCTGATTTATCCGGACGTCCCAGAATCTCCTAAAACGCTGTCATACGCTGAACTTTGTATGGATTTGTTCTATTTTGGGCGTATACATAGAGTATTCATAATGAGTCCAGAACTTCTGTCCAACGACAGCCTAACTTCTGCATAACGCATGGCATCGTAACGCCCATGGAATGATGCACAAGCCAGTTCCTGAGGGGGGGCAGTGATGCGCCCGGCCTGCAGCAAAATCATTTATCTGATGTCACTATTAACGTAGCTGCTGTTTACCGGCCGCCAAAAAAAGAATAAAAAATAAGAATAAATAAAGAAGGTTTTTGGTGTCGTCAGATTCAGTGTGTTGGTGGTGGGCGTGAACACAGGGAGGATCCATCTCTCACCTTCTGGCTCACCCTATGATGGGGATGAAGTCTGGAGGAGAACTGACGGTTTCCTCCTGTGAACCCCCTTTATACCAAAACGCTGCCAATACGCCATTATACAGTAGCTGGACCAACCATCAGATAACTGACCTGGAACTGATGGCCCATGGATGGCAGACGCTGGAATAGGACGGGATATGTTGACGTGTGCCAGTGTGTTTCAGCGTGTTCATAACGTATTCCAGCGTTTTTGCCAGATTTATCGTACTTCAGGCAGACGCTGGTCTAAACAATCACGGTGTGACAGCAGCTTTAGATATGAAATGATTTGTGAAACGATCTGCAAATATTAATAAACCATAACCCCAAAACCAGCCAACCCTGGATTACTGCCCAGCTTTAATCTCTCTGGGATCATCTGAGAAACCAAACTCTTCAAATTGGAGGAAAACATTTGTTCTTTATCCCAGAATTGAATTTACTTTAAGGACATTTTAATGTTGATATTTTCTTAGATTAGGGGTTTATATTCAGTTCATTAATTTTTTCCCTGACTATTAGCCAAACACTGTAAACAATAGATGAGATGATTGTATCTGAGCATGTGAGTCCAACTATCTACCAATTATCTTTTTTAATGTAAACCAACTTATTCTTTGGTTTGTTTTCTTACCTTCCTGCTCCTAAGTTAGTTCCTCTTGAAGGTTAGATGCTTTAAGGAAATAAAGAACTTTGTTTGTTTCTAGCAAACATAAATACTGCAGACAAAAACTGAAATTATAAAATGGGTGATTTTATGAAACGATCCATAATCTGGAGCAGATTTTACTCTGCTCTATTAAATATGTAGAAGAGACGTAGAAAAGAAGATAAGGATCTTTAGCTGCTGGTTTGGAAAAAGATTTTCACTTTGAGATGAAGATTATTGAGGATTAAAGACGTCCCAGTTTGTTCCGATCCAGTAGAAGAATCTCTGTAACTCAAAGTGTCTGCAGCAGCAGGAGTCAGCAGGATGCTCCCCCCAACCTAAACATGTTAGTGATCCTTCAGTCAGGAGGCCTATTTACTGGTGGAGTCCATATTTATTCAGGACGTGTTGAACAGAAAGAAGCAGGCGGTCTGCAGGTTCTGGCTGTGGACGTTCTGAGGAGGTTCTTTGTTTGGAGGAGTTTCCTGCAGCCTGAAGTGACCCAGATCCCATTGTTTTGCCCACATGTGACCTGGATCTGATCTTTTCATGACAGTCTGAACAACACGGATCTGATTTTTTCCCAATGCAACCCAGGCTACTTGGCTCTGTGGTCCTGAATCCGATATAAATCTGATCTTTTTAAATGCGATCTGGTGGCATTCATCTGATCTGAACGGAATTAATACAGGATAAAGGTCATCAACCATGCCGGACGATGATGCGGAGATTTATTTTCGATTATTTAGCCGACAGGGTGACCCACTTAGTGACCCACTTAGGGCAGGAATTATAATTATAATCTATAATTAGATTGTAAAAATAAAAAATATTGAAAAAACATTTTGCATTTAAGATATAAAAAACAAATGTTGGTCAATCTGCTCTATCCAGAACTCCTCAAGTAGAAAAGTCTTAGTTTCACCTGATTTAATTTAGTTAAGAAATCTTGTTTAAAGAAGCTTTGGCTATCCAAATATTAATCAATTAAGAGATAATCAAGAGATTAATCGATTTGCTGCTCAGTGGCGCAGCAGGAAGAAGGTTCTGGGTACGATTCTCGGCCCGGGGTCTTTCTGCATGGAGTCTGCATGTTCTCCCTGAGCATGCGTGGGTTCTCTCTGGGTACTCCAGCTTCCTCCCACAGTCCAAAAACATGACTGTTAGGTTAATTGGCTTCTCTAAATTCTCCTTAGGTGTGAGTGGTTGTGTGTCTCTGTGTTGCTCTGTAATGGACTGTAGACCTGTCCAGGGTGGACCCTGCCTCTCACCCAGAGACAGATGGAGATAGGCACCAGCACCCCTCGCTACCCCAGCAGGGATAAGAGTGATGGAAAATGGATGGATGGATAATCGATTTGCAAAATGATTGTTAGTTGCAGCCCTAATCCAGCACGACCATCCATGTTTTCTTCCGTAAACACAGAGCGAGCTCGCTTATGCCGTCATCTCGTCCTCTGTTACGCATGTGGGAAACTCAACTTGTATGAATGCAGTTCACACAGGAGATCATATACATGTCGCATATATTTGTAAATGTGAAGGACCGTTTAAAAACAGTCGGATTTCACATTAAAATGGGAATTGAGCATCAAGGCCTGCAGTACGAACGCAGCCTGAATGTGTCCAACATGTCTGCAGCTGCTGGAGAAGCTGCCCCTGGTGTGGTGTGAGCTGCTCTCCGAGGCCCTGGCTGCCCTTTGGACCTGCAGCGTGACCTCTGACCCTGACCGCTGGCTCAGATGGGACCCCGTGCATCCAGAGACCGAGCCGGGCCTGAAGCGGCGTCCTGCAGCAGGAATCACGGTTCTGCCTGTTTTTCAACTTTCTGCCTAGAAAATGGATTTTCCATCTGGTTGTTAAAATGTTGGTGATGTTGCCTTCAGGGCCCAGCTGTGCTGGGTACAGCGGTGTGGTCCCATTGCATTCTGGGAATGCTGAGCAGCAGTGGGAGCAGCGGTGGAATGGAGCCGGGGGCCGGGGCCCTGCTGGCCTCGTCTCATGTCTGCCTCGGGGAGTGGAAGGAGCGGCTCCAGCAGCTGGAGGTGGTCTCCTCCGTGCTGTGGGACAACATGGCCTTCCCTGCTGCAGCTCCTTTCAGGTACCCCTCCTCCAGACTCCTCGTTGTCCCCTCAGATGTCCCCTCCTCTGACCCCATGGCACCCGTGTCTCCTCAGGGCTACAGACCTCCGGCTGCAGGGGGCCGTCCTGCGCCGGCAGCTTCAGAGCATGGCAGACCTGCTGCCTCCCAACATGCAGGAGGGCTACATGGAGAGCTGTGAGAGCCTAGTGGAGCACCCATACCCTCTCATCGCCTCCCAGGAGATCCAGACGGTCCTGAGGAACTTCCTGCCTCCAAACCTGCTGCCTGACGGCCTGATGGGAGCCTGCATGGCCTGCCTCCAGCAGTTTGTCCAGGGCAGGGTCCAAGGTGGAGGCGTGCCGGCCCACAGCGGGGCGTTCTGGGTCCACATGGGCCTCCTGCAGGTCCGAGTGTGGACACCGCAGAGCATCTTTGATCCAGCAGTGAAGAGGGCCTACAAACTGAACTACGCTCAGCAGGAGGTAAAAAGCACCTTTGATTCGTTCTGATGTGGTAGAAGATCAGATGAAGGCGTCCTGAGAGGATGGTCAGCTGCTCTGATGGAAACTGGTTCAGACTGCAACTAAAAACAGAGATAATGAGAAAGTCGATCTATTTTCTTTTGCTCTGTTCCAGCTGGTTCTGCTGCAGGATGAGTGGAAAACTCGCAGCTTGTCCTCTGAGCTGAAGACCGGAGAGGAGCTGAGAGAAAGCAGCACCACTGATGGCTTCCAGCATCCTCGAATCAGGTCAGGACATCCACTGCCAGGAGGGAGGGGCTATAACAGGCCGCTGAACCACAATGCATGCTGGGAAAACGTTCAGGATGCATTGGTTAAAAAGCCTGCATGTTAATAGCAGAGCGAGATCCAGGCTGGTTGATCATTTGGTTATCAGGCTCCTCTCCTGTGGAACCAACTACCAGACTAAAACTTTCCTTTTTGATAAAGCTTCTAGTTAGAGTGGCTCAGGTTATCCTGAGCTATCTCTATAGTTATGCTGCTATAGGCTTAGACTGCTGGAGGACATGGGGACCCCTTTTTCATCATCCTGCTTCATTCTATCTCTATTCTTCCACTCTGCAGAATCTGTTAGTTCAATCTCTAACGTTCTGCTCTCTCTGCTTTTTCTCATAGTAGCTTCATCTGGTCTGTTCCTGTTTGGCTGTGACTCCATCCTGGAGAGAAATATCAGCTGCGCTGCTGCCATCAACACCTTTGTTTATAGATGTTATAGCTCTGCTTGTTTTCCAGTGCGGTCCTGTTTCTCTGACTGTGACTAACTGGATGTGCTCTCTTCATCCTCTGACATGGGAGCTGGCTCGGAGCTCGTCTGCCTGGCTGTGTGTTTCCTGGACGGGGCCGCCTTTTACAGTTGCCTTTTGTATCTATGCTTCTTTTTCTATGTCTGCTTCTGTCTCCTTGAACCCCAGTGGGCCTCAGCAGATGGCCGCTCACACTGAGCCTGGTTCTGCTGGAGGTTTCTTCCTGTTCAAAGGGAGTTTTTCCTCTCCACTGTTGCTAGAAGCATGCTTAGTGTGAGGGATTGCTGAAGAGTCAATGAGTCGATGCAATCAACTGGTTTTCCTTAGAAAACTTTGAATCATTCTGACTGGATGATCTGGTGAACTGTAAAGTGCCTTGAGATGACAAGTGTTGTGAATTGGATATATAGAAATAAACTGAATAGAACTGATGAGGGGGACGTGTGGCTGATGTCTGCAGGTATCTGTGGATCCGCATGCAGCAGCTGAGGGAGCAGATAGCGGAGCTCTCCAGGAAGCAGGCTTTCCGCCCTCAGGAGCCTCAGTACGGCCGGCTCTTCCAGGACCTGCAGCATTACCTCAGCAGCGTGGGCCACCTGTCGGCCGTAGAGGAGCTGCTGTCTCAGCTGCTGAAGGCCCTCAGGGAGCCTTCAGCCTTCAGGTCCCGCTCAGCCATCCAGGCTCTGCTGAAGGAGGAGGCTGTGTGGCAGAGCTCCCAGCAGCGCTTCTGCCAGAAGCTGATGGAGGACTACCCTCTGTTCCCCGACCTGGTGGGGCCCCTGAGGACCGGCCTTCTACAGCTGCAGCACGGCATGAGGCTGGTGGCCTCTCAGGTGGCCGCCTCTCTGACTCCTGTCCCGGGTCTGTCCAAGGTGGTGTCCTGCTTACTGTCCTTCCCCTCCGTGTCCCCTGGCCTCCCGTCAGACCTGGCCCGGGCAGAGTTTCTCTGCTCCACGGCGTGCATGGACGTTCTGCAGAGCCTCGTGAAGCTCCTGCCCAAAGAAGACGCCGACGCTGTGATCCCCCAGCCCTCCGCTCTGCTGCTGAATGCTCTGCTCTACCTGCAGTGTGACTCCCTGTCCACAGGGGAGCTGAGCCACGACGCCTGCTGTCTCTTCAGACACATCTGCCAGGTCTGGTTCCGCCTCCGTCCAGCTTCTGTTTGTCAAACCGCCGCTGAGCGTCTGCCTTCTGCTCCTCAGGCTGTGGTGAACGAGTGGGACAACCAGGAGAGGAGGAAGCGAGAGCAGGAGCAGATGGAGGCGTCTCTGTACCGCAGCCGCAGCCGTCTGCACGGGTCGGGCCTGACGGAGGACGAGCAGGAGGAGAAGGACTTCAGGCGCCAGTTTCCTCAGTTCAACAAGGTAGAAGCATTAATAGTAGCCTTATTCATGATATAGCAAATGTTGTTTTTTTTCTGAGCTCTTCTCAGTTTTCCTGCGGTGATAACACAGAAAAGATCCAAACAGTTTGGATAAATTAAGGCCAGAACACAGAATCCGATTTAGTGTCCGATCCCACAGACCAACTATTTGCTTTCATCACCAAATAATTGACTCATTGAATGAATCGTCTCGATCCAAAATCCTTTCACTGATTAGAAGCTGATTAACTTCAGGTTGCTATTACCATGGTAACCAGATGGATCTCCATCCTCATGCTGAGATGTTTATCTCCGGTTCTGATTCAGGACTTTGCAGATATATTGACCCAGCCCAGTCTGGAAGGCCCGGGCGACTCGGAGCCGGAGGCGGAGGAGGACGGGGCCGATCCGGGGGCCGCCGAGCCGGGCTCCTTGTCTGCACACGCCATGAACGCGGTGGTCCAGGTGCATCAGAGCATGTGTCTGGGTTACGCCCGCTCGCTTTGGTACCGGAGCGCACCGCCGGCCAATCACAGCAAAGGACACATCAAGGCCCTGATCTCCTCCCATCAGATCGCCTCTCCTCTGATGTCCCACTGCTACCAGCTGATGGGTAACAGACGTCTGGATGTGAAGCCATGAAGCCTGTTTCTCTCAGATTCATCAGCTTGTTTCTCCCGTTTAGACTCAGAGCTGGATCTCCAGCTGACGGGCTGCGGCCTGTTGCTCTCCACCCTCCTCCAGAACACGGTGAGGGGCTCCGGGGGTTCTGAGCTGGCCGCCTCCCCAGAGGGACCGTATGACTTCTATCAGCAGCCTAACGTGGGCGAAGCCGGCCTCTGCCTGCCGGTTCTGGAGCAGCTGAGTGAGGCGGTGAGACGGCGGCTGGAGGAGTGGCCCGAGCACCCCGCTCTGCTCCAGGTCAGTGCTCCTCTCAGCTCGGGGATCTGTTCTCCCTCTGCTCCTTGAAACCAGTCCTGATGTGTTTGCAGCTGGTGGTGGTGATGGAGAGGATCACGTCCTTCAGCCTGGCCTGCCCGCTGGCCAAGTTCCTGAACGGGCTGGAGATCCTGCTCGCCAAAGCCCAGGTCTGTCATTTCTCTGAACGCCCCTCCCCCCACGCAGCCGGTTCCTGACTCTGCTCACTGTCATCCATTCAGGACTGGGAGAACAACGCCAGCCGCGCGGCGTCTCTGCGGAAGGAACTGGAACCAGTCATCCAGCTCATCATCCAGTGGCGTAAACTGGAGCTGAAGTACGAGTAAAGCAGGTCGGCTGCTTCCTGCTCCTGAGCTGCTCTAACCTTCTCTCTGCTGGGTTTCAGGTGCTGGTCCAGCAGCCTGGACAACGCGCTGAAGAGACACACGGAGAAATCCACCAAGCACTGGTTCTCCCTCTACCAGCTGGTGGAGCGATACCTGGAGGAGCAGAGGACCCAGGCGCCCTCAGGTAGACCAGCTCTGCCTCCTCACACAGCGTCCTCGCTTCAAAGCAGACTGTGACATGCTCTTCTCTGTCCTCCGCAGGAGAGCAGGCAGAGAGCCTCTCCCTGTCCTCCATCTCCTCCACCCTGGAAGCCTTCATGGAGAGCTCCACCCTGGGCGACTTCCACACCCGTCTGAGGATGCTGCTCAGCTTCCACTGCCACCTCCTGCTGGTCCCAGACCTGCCAGGACAAGGTCAGCCATCAGCCCCCACCCACCCTGAGCTCTGAGCGCCTCATTAACTAACCGCCTGCTCTGCTCCGCCTTCCAGGCTCTCTGTCCAGGCTCCTGTGGAACCTGCACAGATACTACAGCCAGTTCTCCGAGTCCGTCCAGGGAAAGATGCTTCAGCTCCGGCAGCCGATAGAGAAGGAGCTCAAAGTAGGACGCAGTCCTCCCTCTGCTGCTGCTTCTTACTTCCTGAACTCCCACTCATCAGCTCCACCTTTGTTCTCAGGACTTTGTCAAGATTTCCAAGTGGAACGATGTCAGCTACTGGTCCATCAAGCAGTCGGTGGAGAAGACCCAGCGGTACGTTGAATTTTAGCCCCCTTTAGGACCGACTGTAGGCGCCTCAGCTGAACAACGCTTCCCGCTCCCTTTCAGCACCCTCTTCAAGTTTGTGAAGAAGTTTGAGGAGGCTCTGAGTAAACCCAGTCTGGCTGCACTGGTGGAAGTAGGCAGCGTGGAAGAAGAGGGCGTGGCCACTGGCCCAGAGGAGGGCGCCGTCCATCGGGTCCATCGCGCGCTGAAGGCGGCCGTGCCCGGCCAGGGCAGAGAGCTGCAGGTACGAGTCCCAGACTGCAGACAGCCTGCGGTTTCAGATGGACGCAGCTCTGACTGTCTGTGTTCTGTAGGACCAGGAGCTGGAGGACGGAGCTGGATCCCTGCAGAGCCGGCTGCCCGTTTTGTTCCGCAAAATGAAGAAGATGTGCATCCAGCTGCTGAAGAAGGACTCCGTACCTGAACTGGCTGAAGATCTGGACCAGTTTACCAGTAAGACTCCTGCTGCTGGAGAAATTCAGCATCAGCTTTAACTGCTTGATGCAACTTTAAGGAGATTTCTACCTGATCTTCAGGCTGCGTTTGGAGTTTGATGGTGTTCAGGGGAGGGATTAAATATTAGGCAATACTAGGTAGCTGCCTAGGGCCCCAACCTCCTGGGGGGTTTACGTGTATGGTTGATACAACCGTTCCATATTTGTGCACATTATGTTTTTAATAAAAATCCTTTCACTAAAATGCCATCAGAACGGTGATAATATCAAGTGTGTCTCAGCCCCCCCTTCAGTGTCCACCATATTGGATCAGTCCATTTGCTGCACATGTTCAGAGAGGTCCAAACAGACAGCAGCAAACCATTTGAAAACAAACCATGCAAAGAGCAGTGTTGCCAACTTAGCGCTTTAGTCGCTATATTTAGCCACTTTTCAGGCCCCTCTAGAACTCTGATTTCTAAAAAGCTCCTAGCGCCAAATCTAGCCACTTTTTTCTGCTACTGGAGACTTTGGAGACAACATCTAAAAGCAGCGAACTCTGCTCTCCAGAGCGAGTAGATTGGTAACCCCGCCTCCTGCTCTCCTCTATCTTGTCTGCTGTCATGATTCATGCAGCTATTATTTCATCCAAATGAAAAATGGAGAACAGATAAGCAGATCATGGCTTGTCTACAGTGAAAAGAAGGACTGGGTTATTTACTTTGGCCTTTTTGGAAACACAGGAAGGAGCAATCAGCTAAGTGAGCTTAGTGCTTGGAAAAAATCTTTCATTCCTTTAGAGACAGCATGAAAAGTCAGCTGAATACAAAACATAGAGAGGAAAACAAGAAGAAAAGGGACAAGAAGAGAGGGACACAACCTAGAACAGATATTGGATGTCTATTCTATTAACATTTCTCTATCTGTAGAATGGGGCTGTTTATGTGCCGTCTTCTTAATTCAGAGGGTCCCTGCCTGTCTTTGCCCAGGGCCCCACATTTCCTAAATCTGCACCTGATGGTGTTTATGGTGTTTTCTCTCTTCTACATATCCTATATTTGATAGTTTCCCCTCTTTGCCTCCTACTTTATTTAATTTCAGTCGTCTTGGTTCACTTCATTATTTAAATGTTTATTTTACTGCTGTTGTAAGTTCTCTTTGATAACCATGGTGTTTTATTGGCATCTATCAGCTACAAAAATGATCTAAAAATGAGTCAACATTTCTTAGAGGAGGAGTTTTATCCACTAATTTCAGCAGATCAGTAAATAAAGTGTTTCTGCCATTAGAATGAGATAATACAGTTACTGCAGTTATGATCCTATTCTAGTTTTAAATGATCTTTCCTGCTTAAATCAAGGGAAAATGCTTTATTTTCCAACATGAATTCATGTAAATTTTAAATGTTTCAGGTCTGATGAACTGCTGCTTGGTTTAACATTTTAATGATCAGTTTTCTGCCAGGAACCGTCAGGAAGCAGAGTGAAAATGATTTAAGCTCAGAAATCTGCACCTTTTTTCTCCCTGAGATCATTTGGACTTTGTTCTAATTGATTGGCTGGTTTTCCTTCCCAGGTGAGATCATCAGCAACCTGCGCGAGCTGCAGAGCCTCAGCGTGGACGCGGCGGCGGCGAAGGAGAAGCAGAAGACGGAGGTCAAACACATCCTGCAGCAGAAGCAGAGAGCGCTGTCTGACCTTTTTAAGATGCTCTCTGAATTAGGTTGGTTTCCTCCTCCCTGACGTCAGCCTGGTCAGTCATGGCGAGTCTGTGTTTTTAGCTGCTTCTTTTCCCGGGCAGGTCTGTCGTACCGGAAAGGCGTGACATGGAGCAGAACGGCAGACCCAGAAACCACCCTCTGCATGCAGCCGCTGGAGATGACCACGGCGCTCTCTGCTGTGACGGACCCGGGGGAGACCGAGCGCACGTAAGCAGAGTTTATTCCCAACCGTACGCCGTCTTCTGCTCCACCACGCTGATTTATGTCATCAACGGACGTCCAGGTTGTTGGCGGAGCTAATGGCAGCATGGGAAGGATGTCAGAAGTACTTCTACCGTTCGTGGGCCAGGAGGACGGCGCTGCAGACCGCTCTGCAGCACGCCACCAAGGTGAGCCCCCCTACAAAAGGCAGGGCCTCAGAGGCCCAGCTGGGAACTCATGCCTCTCTCTGCTTCCTTCGTCTCCATGGTTACAGGAGCTGGGGGTTGGGAACATAGAGCGCTGCAGAGGCTTTTCCTCGCACCTGTTCAAGGTGCTTCTCAGACAGAGGCACCGGCTGGCCCAGCTGACCGAACACTGGCTCTGCCTCAGGTAAGTTTGACCTTTGACCTGGTTAGAGCAGCAGCAGCTGTTCATTTCTCTTTAGTGAGAGAAAGGAATCTTTAGAGACTATTGTTCTGAGGAGAAACCACATAAGTGACAAAAAAAATATTTTACACATTACATTGTTTAAAGCTTTTATTTGATTTAAACCTAAAATAGAAAGGAAGTATTGGTTCTGAAAGAAGGACAACATCATATGGTGGAGAAGATTCTCAGTCTTCCAGGTCAGAGACATTCCAAAAAGTTAGAAAACAAACCACTGGACCTTGTTTCCAAGTTTGAAGACGTTTCTCTTCCATTCAGGAAGCGTTTTCAATTCAAAATGACAGAAATAGTGTTGAGTTCCAGGTTTGATACCAGGGGTCACCAATTAAAAACCAGCGGGGTCTGAATAAAGAAAATCATCAACCAGTAAAGGTCTGGAGACATTTTTAATTATAATCTGTTACTTTAAACAGAATTTCATATTTTATGCATCCATGTTATAAATTGAATTATCAAATAAAAAATATAAAAAAATAGAAAGTTTTTCCATAAAGTGTTTTTTAAGCAGAGAACAACAATCGTTCAGTTTGGTTTATAGACAATTTCCTGATTCCCATATTTTATAAACACCTGAACTCAGCGTTTGTTATTCTTTTTTCTGTCTTAATGTTGGCAGTGGGCTTTAGGCTGCCCTGCAAGGCTTTAAACCTGGGTTTGAATGGAGACTAAGCCATTCTCAAGCACATATCAAGGAGCTCATTCTGAGCCTGGATCCAGATTTATTGTTGATTCTGTTCATGGTGGAGAATCCTGCTTCACAGCAGCAGGTTGAGCCAAACATCTTCTAAATGTGCAGGGTCATCTTTGAGCACGCCATTTCACTTTTCTTTCACCAGTTCACCACAGTTCTTCCAGCAGTCCACACTTTCTCTGCTCTCTTTTTCTCATCATCTTCTCCTTCTTTCCCATCGCCCGGCTTGCCACAGGTTTGCCTGCTGTGTCTAAAAGTAGCAGCAGCAGCAACCCAGACTGACAGCAGAACATTGGATAATCTGGATCACGTGCAGCCTGGAGCCGGACGCTCTGGAGGGCTTTACCGTATTAACAGGAGAAGTGGCGCATGTGAAGTTAGACACTGTCGTTGAACATGTGTTAATTCATAAATGTTTTAAATCAGGTGTGTCTGGATCCGGTCCCTGGTCCGCTAATCCATGACCATCTGCTTTATACAGCAGCCCAGCAAAGCCTTATTTTTGTTTAGAAAGCTTGCAAATTGAAACGGACAATAAGGTCCACCCCTTTGGAATGGAGGTCATTTGGCTTCTTTGTTAGCATGCGATGCCCCATACGTGTCCATGTCTCTGAAACAAACTAAACCAGAAAAGAGGAGCGAGGTGGGCGAGAACGCTGGAACCCTTTTTCCACCTGGATCCCCGCTCTTTTTGGCCCTCATGTCCCTCCGTTGTCGCACAAACTTGCCTCCACTTCCTCACCCCTCAGCAGTATCTAGACCTACAGCTAGTTCCTGATTGGCCCTCTGGCGTTGTGGCGTGGAATAACATAGCGCAGACCATGCTTCAATACTGGGCATAAATCAAAAATATCTGCAACAAGCTCTCTGCCATAACCAGCCCTTTACTCCAACAGTGCAATATGCCGGTGAAGACTCTGTCATCCAGGTCATAGTTATTCTAAAAAAGTTCACAAACCATCCACGGGACTTTGTTACCGAGATTGAAGCTGTTTCAGAGACATATACAGGTAATGCAGGCTAACAAAGAAGCGACCCCCATTCCAAAGGGGGGGACCCGTTCATCCGTTTCTATTTCCATGTTTTCTAAACTAAAAAAAGATTTTGTTGGTTCACCCTATAAAACCTGGAACTCAACGCTATTTCTGACATTTTGAATTGAAAAAGCTTCCTGGATGGAAGAGAAACGTCTTTAAAGTTGGAAACAAAGTGGATTGTTTTTTCACTTTTTTGGACATCTTCATATAAAGTGCTAAAACATCAACAACCTGCAACCGGGCTGAGCCGGTTTGGGTCGATGTTCGGAGGATGGAGCGCTGCTGTGACTATAGAGGGCCTAATGATGAAGACGAGGATGATAATCCCGTGGAGACGGCAGCTTCTGTTTAGTTCCAGTCCTTTTAGACCCGTTAAACGGGTCGATGACGCCGTTAAACCTGTACTATGGCTGCTTTCCTCATGGTTTCTTTGTCTCCTTGCCTCCTCCAGGAAGCTAACAGCCAACGTCCAGGATGTCAGAGCCCACCTCCAGACGGCGGGCTGCCCCCTCCCCCCCCAGAAGCCTCTGCAGGGCTGGATCCAGAGAGGCCAGGCGCTGGCGGCCCAGTGTGCCGCTCTGCTGCAGCAGCTGTCATGGCTGCTGCAGTGCTGTCCTGAAGACGCCCAGCAGAAGGAGCAGGGCGGCAGCGGGCAGCAGACCCCGATGTGCCCGTCCCCTCTGGCTGCTCAGCAGCAGCCCCCCGGCTGCCTGTTGAGGAGGGGGGACCCCAGTTGGTGCCAGCTCCACCAGCGAGTGGTTGCGATGCTGAAGGATGCTCAGAGTCTGAGGGAGCAGCTGGGCTCTGTAGCACAGCAGAAGGAGAGGGTTCTCTGCACATGGTAAATCATCATCATCATCCTCACAGCTCCTGCTGCTGTCCAACAGAACTTAAAGATGGATGTTTCACCCTGGATGTTTTCTCTACAGGAGCAGTTTTGCCTCCTGCTGTTCTGCCATGGAACAGCTGGGAACTGTAGCCGCTCAGATCTCCAGCATGGAGCACCTCTTCTCTCCCGTCATCAAAGTGGGCGGGGCAAACAGCCAGCCAGCCGTTACGCAGAGCCTGCAGTATGTCCGAGGACAGGTGGAGACATGCGTTACAGAGTTCAGCACCTGGAAGAGCCAGCTGCTGTCCCTGGGAGAGCCAGAGCCCACAGGTCGTCCTCACCAGCCTGCTCCTGGTTTAGTTCTTCATGAAGCATTAGCTGAATTAGATAACCGCTAGACTCAAAAACCTCTGGTCCTGTTTCCTCTGCAGATCAGCCGTCCGCGTTCTCTACAGACTTCTCTGCTGAGCTGGAGGCAAACATCAACGCGGTTCTGTGCGCCGTCCAAAGAGTGGTGAAGAGAAGAGAGAAGGAGCAGGAAGCAGAGAAACCCAGAGATCCAAAGACAGGTAGCCATGAAGTGATCGATGTCTGCAGGGCTTTCAGGGCTGCCAAATGTACACCCCGCATGCTCTCTACGAGCACCCGGAGAGTCCCTGTTCTGTCCTGCTATGAACCAAATATTTGGCACTTTTTCTGATCAGATCTGACAATATTGAGCAGAGCAGGATCTCAGCAGCTTGACAGGTTGCTGAGGAGCCTGAGATCCTGTAAACTGGGATGCCAGGTTTTCAATTCAGTTTATTTCTATAGCACCAATTCACATCATGTCATCTCAAGGCACTTTCCAGTTCACCAGATCATCCAGTCAGATTGATTCAAAGTTTTCTATCTAAGGAAAACCAGCTGATTGCATCGACTCATTGACTCTTCAGCAATCCCTCACACTAAGCATGCTTGTAGCGACAGTGGAGAGGAAAAACTCCCTTTGAACAGGAAGAAACCTCCAGCAGAACCAGGCTCAGTGTGAGCAGCCATCTGCTGAGGCTGACTGCGGTTCAAGGAGACAGAAGCAGACATAGAAAAAGAAGCATAGATACAAAAGGCAACTGTCAACCAGCTCCACAGGCGGCCCCGTCCAGGAAACACACAGCCAGGCAGACGAACAGATTCTGCAGAGTGGGAGAATAGAGATAGAATGATGAAAAAGGGGTCCCTATGTCCTCCAAAAGTCTAAGCCTATAGCAGCAGAACTATAGAGATAGCTCAGGATAACCTGAGCCACTCTAACTAGAAGCTTTATCAAAAAGGAAAGTTTTAAGCCTAGCCTTAAAAGTAGACAGGCTGTCTGCCTCACGGACTAAAACTGGTAGTTGGTTCCACAGGAGAGGAGCCTGATAACTAAAAGATCTGCCTCCCATTCTACTTTTAGAATTTCTAGGAACCACTAGTAAACCTGCAGATTGAGAGCGAAGTGCTCTGTTTTCCACTGGGAAAGAAAGTAATCCAGATATCTAATTCTCTGTGTCCTGTCTGTTGCCTCAGACGAGGAAACCGAGGAGCCTGTGGAGGACCTGCTGAAGCCTGGTCATCTGACTCGGCTGCTGGAGGAGGAGCTGGAAGCTGATCTGGAGGCTTTGTCTGTTGGCAGCGTGAATATGGGAGTAACTGAGCTTCTGAGCCGTATGAGGAGACACAGGGATTCCTGTCAGCCACCACAGCTTCAGGTATCTCCATGTCTGAGCTGAACTGCTCTGTTCATCGCCAGGAGGCCCATCCTCCATCCTCTGCAGCGTAGCTTAGTGAGTCTTAACCTCTGCTGGTTGGTTGACCTTCTGCTGGCTGCTCTGGTCTGTGTTCCAGGAGCTGAACCGCGCCTGCAGGATGTTGGTCCGTTTCGAACCACTGCTGGGGATTTACTCAGACCTGGTGCGTCACTACCTGTCTGTGTCGGTCGGAGTGCACAGATGCACAGGGAAGCTGCTCTCTGTTCTGTCCGGCATCTTCACAGAGCTGGCCCAGAAGGTACGGATTAACCCACATTACCTGACCAATGACCACATGTGACGTTTGGGGGAAGAACTAACCTCTGCTTGTGGTCCGGGTCAGGGTTTCTGCCTGCCCCAGGAGCTGCTGCCTGGCGGAGATGGAGAGGGCGCCACAGAGTTTCATGACTATGAGGGCGGCGGCATTGGAGAGGGAGAAGGCTCCAAAGATGTCAGCGACAAAATCGAGACTGAAGATCAGGTGATGGAAACGTTTAGATTTGTCCCGTGCTCCTCCTCCTTCAGCGTCTGTATATCCGTCCCATAGCTTTCTCTGAGGACCCGCTCCTGCTGCCAGCAGTGGATCACAGGTTGTTCTAACATCCTGCTGACCCAGATATCAGCTCCCAGTAATATCCTTCACACAAAGCAAACCGCTTCATTCATGGTTCTGGAATCTCTTTTAACTATCTCCGTTTTCATTTTTAAACTTTAATGCAAAATTATTTTTTTACACACTTCTTCATCCCTATTGGGTGAAAGAAACATCCAGCTTTGTTTTGTTTTTTTTATGAATGATGAAACTGAGCCATTTTAAAAACCTCCTGACAATGACTACATGATTGTTGAGCAACCCAAGCAAAGAGGCCGACTGGGGTTCAAGGAGACAGAAGCAGACATACAGAAAGAAGCATAGATACAAAAGGCAGCTGTCAACCAGCTCCACAGGCGGCCCTGTCCAGGAAACACACAGCCAGGCAGATGAGCTCCGAGCCAGCTCCCATGTCAGAGGATGAAGAGAGCACATCCAGTTAGTCACAGTCAGAGAAACAGGACTACACTGGAAAACAGACCGATTTCCAACATCTATAAAGCTACTATCAGAAAATAGCAGAGAGAGCAGAACGTTAGAGATTGAACTAACAGATTCTGCAGAGTGGGAGAATAGAGATAGAATGAAGCAGAATGATGAAAAAGGGGTCCCTATGTCCTCCAGCAGTCTAAGCCTATAGCAGCAGAACTTTAGAGATAGCTCAGGATAACCTGAGCCACTCTAACTAGAAGCTTTATCAAAAAGGAAAGTTTTAAGCCTAGCCTTAAAAGTAGACAGGGTGTCTGCCTCACGGACTAAAACTGGAAGCCAATGAAGAGAAGCCAGGATAGGCGAGATATGATCTCTCTTTTTCATTTTCATCAGAACTCTGGCTGCAGCATTTTGGATCAGCTGAAGGCTTTTAACTACAGTTTGTGGACTTCCTGATAGTAAAGAATTACAACAAATGCATGGACTAGTTTCTCAGCATCAACCCTGGACAGGATATTTATCATTTCTGCAATATTCCTCAGATGAAAGAAGGAAATTCTAGAAACCTCTTTGATATGGGATTTAAAAGACAGGTCCTGATCAAAAACAACACCAACAAACCCGTCTGCTAACTTTTAGTTAAGCAAACATCGAAATATGACCATAAATCAGAAGTCTCAAAGCGACAGATCAGATGATGTAACACTAAGAGGAGGGACACAGGAGCAGTGGGACAGAGGAGGAAATGAAACACTGACTCAAACGCTCTGAACACAGATAGCTGCACCCAACCTCTGTTACCTTTGGCTAAAATAAATGAGCGAAAAAAAGCAGAGATTATTGGTGGGGACTGTCCCCACCCGGCCAAAGTCTGTGGGGACATGTCCACACCAGTCCTTCAGAAAGTTACGCCTGTGATACAGACTGCTAACCTCTGACCTTTCCCTCCAGGTGGAGGACACCTTCCAGGAGGGGGTGGAGAAGGAGGAGCAGCAGGATAAAGAAAACATCAAGAGTGAAGACAATGCCATTGAAATGTCTGAAGACTTTGATGGACGGGTGCATGATGGAGAGCAGAATGAAGCCGGTGAGTGGAGCTGAGGGCCAGAAGTCTGCTGGTATAACCTTTGACCCTCTCTCTGTTTAGATGTTAGTGTTTCCCCGCTCAGATCAATGACCCAAAGCTTCTCTGGATGCTTTACAGGTGAGGAAGAGGAGTCTGAGGAGGAGGATAAAGAGGAGCTGGATAAAAAGATGGGAGACCTGGGAGAAGGTCAGACGGACACTTTGGACGAGAGAATGTGGGGTGATGATGAAGATGATGAGGAGGAGGGGAGTGATAAGGAAGAGGAGTCTGGACAGGGCATGGATCAGGTACCGCTCAGCAGGGTTCCTCCTGGGATGAAGATGATGGGAACGCTGGTTTTTCCAGGAGGAAGCACTAACCGTCGCCTTCTATGACGATTTCTCAGGGAGAATCCGAACTGGTTGCCAAGGACGACAACTTGGATGCAGCAGAGTCCAACACGGAGAAGAAGAAGAGCCAGGAGGAGGATGAACAGATGTGTGAGGAGGAGGCGGAGAAGATCCACGAGCAAGGAGATCAGGTGACTTTAGATCGGAGGAGAAACTCCACTAGAGAATCAAATCATGAAACCTTCCAAATATCTGGTAGATCTTCAGAGATCTCATCCTGGGTTTAGAGACAATAACTAATATCTGAGGTCTTCCTTTTCCCAGAGAGAGTTTGATGAGAATGAGGTGGACCCCTTCCACGGTCAGCAGGACAAGAGACCGGAGCCAGAGGCCATGGATCTGCCAGAGGACCTCAACCTGGACCAGGATGAAGAGGCTGGAGAGGATGAGGAGTGCGAGGGAGATGGTGAGGGCTGCTGCTGATCAACGTTTCCTGCTGCCTCCTGAGCAGATCAGGAACAAAACAACTTTTATCAGCTGATCTTTACCCCAACTGTTCAGACCGATGCTCTAAACTGGAGCTGTGTGTCCAGTTTAGCGTGGCGTCCATCTTGGTTTTTTTGTTGCACATGTCTGATGGTTTCCCCTGAAGGTACCAGTTAAATGAACTAAATGAAATCCACTCTGGAAGCTCTTCTTCTTCTTGTGTGTTTCTTCTCTTTTAAAACAGCCTCCAAACACATAAATTGTGAGACTCCTGTCACACAGTGCTGATTTATCTGCCTGACGTCCCAGAATCTCCTAAAATGCTGTCATACGCTGAACTTTCTATGGATTTTTTCTATTTTTGTCGTATAGATAGAGTATTCATAACAAGTCCAGAACTTCTGTCCAACGACAGCCTAACTTCTGCATAACGCACAGCAGCGTAATGCCCATGAAATAATGGACAAGCATCATTTCATGGGCATTAGGAAGCATCAATTAAAGATGCTTCCCTCAGGAGGCGCCCAGTCTGCATAAAATGATGTCTTTGAACCCTTTGAACCTTAACCCAGCTGCTGTTTACCACCCGGCAAAAAAAAAAAAGAAGAAAGAAAAAGAAAGCTTTTGGTGTCATCAGATTGAGCGTCATGTCTGCTAGGAAGTGTGTTGGTGGTGGGCGTGAACGCAGGGAGGATCCATCACTCCCCTTCTGGCTCACCCTATGATGGGGATGAAGTCTGGAGGAGAACTGACGGTTTCCTCCTGTTAACCCCCTTTATACCAAAACGCTGCCAATACGCCATTATACAGTAGCTGGAAGTTAGAAACATGTTCAGCGCTCGTCTGGAACACGGCAGATACCTTGATATGCTTGGAGAGAAGTTCTGGATAAGTTACTCAGAAGTTACTCAGAGGTTTAGGATCAGCTAGACGCCACGACTGATGAGGAACTGACACTGAACGGATGACGACCATCAGATAACTGACCTGGAACTGTCGACTTGTTTCAGTGTGCTCATAACTTTAACAAAACGTATTCCAGCGTTTTTGGCTGATTTTCCGTACGTCAGGCAGATGCTGGTCTAAATCATCAAGGTCTGACAGGAGCTTGAATTCCATCTTTCCACAAACTCTGATTCTGGTTTCTGACTTTTCAGAGGAGAACCCGTTAGATATCGCTGACAAAGCCCCGGAACTGGAGGAGAAAGAAGGAGAACAGAAAGATGGAGAGGAAGAGGAGCCGGGAGACACTGAGATGGAGGAGAACCCTAGAGAGGAGGAGCCACAGACGGAGGAGGAGGAGGAGGAGAAAGGACAGGAGAAGGTATCAGAAGAGGAGGAGGCTGCTGATGAGGACGAAGAAAAGGAGGGGGAGGAGGATAAGGAGGGACGGGAAGAAAGAGAGGAGGCGACTGCACCGAAGGACGGCGGAGATAAAGCGAAGGTCTGGATGTGAACAGATGTTTTTGAATCTGTGAAGATCACAGGAACCGTTAACTCAGCCGCTTCTGCTCCGTCAGGCGGAACAGGAGGAGGAGGAGGAAGGGGACGACGAGGAGCCTGCTTCTGCTGAGAGGAAGGAGCACAGCGCGGACGGTCAGACTGGAGAGGAGAACATTCAGAGCGAGGCGGCGGTGGAGCTGGCGGGGGCGGCTTCAGAGAGAGACCAGGCCAAGGAGGTAACGGAGGATCCAGGTCTGTGGCTTTGGGTTCCCTCCTGGATGATTACTGACTGCTCCACCCCCCCACCCCCTCTAGGAGCATGGCAGTGGAGCGGCTGACGCCAGCCAATCAGAGGGCCACCAGTCCAAGCTGACGGCCAGGATGGCCTCACAGACACAGACTCGGAGCAAGACGCAGGTACGGCTGCTGCGGCGCTTCTCGTTAGTTCACCTGTCGGTTCTTTTCCACTGAAACGATCTCGTCACGCCGTCCCTTCTCAGAGCTACAAGAGGAAACCCGGCCGAGCAGATAAGGAACGGTCCACGGGCGACTACAACGAGCGCGTCAGCAAGCGCCTGCGTACGGTGGAGGGCAGCCAGGAGCGCACGGAGAACAGGCAGACCGAAGGCCAGCAGGAGTCTGAGCTGTACGAACACATCAAAGATGGAGAGGCGGCGTACGACGCGCAGACTTACGGTCGGTGGTCTGCCTCACTGCCGGCGTCCTGATCCGCCTCCGATACCCAATAACCGCTCTGATAACCGCTTTCAGATGTCGCCAGTGCGGAGCAAGAAAAGGCAGCAGGACCTCAGAGGGACCAGGAGGAGGAGGAGGATGTCGCCATGGAAACGGAGGACCAAGAGGAACAGCTGAAATCTGCCGACGTAGAGGAGCTGAAGCCTGACCACCTGGAGGCTGCCAAGTTCTCCCAGAAAGGTTTCTGTTGTTCTTATTTTTCCTTGGTGGCTGCGTCTCCCTCCAGTAACCCGCTTCTACGTCCTCATTGGTCTGCAGGTGTGGAGGGCGGAGAAATGGAGGCGCAGCAGCAGGATGAGGAAGACGAGAGGCCGAAGGACCGACAACATCAACCCGTAGAGGAGGAGCGAGCTGAAAGAGGCAGAGAATCCAGCATCCATACTGTTCCTGAGCTCCTGCTGCACCCCGTGCAGGTAGGATGAGGCCCGGGTTTGAAACGGCGTCCGTCCAACAGGCTGAGCCTCTAACGGCCGATTTTCCTCCTGCAGAAACCAGAGCGAGACCCAGAGGAGCTGAGGAGGGAGATGGAGCTGCAGCTGGAGTCCTGGAGGAGACTAGCTCCAGGTTCTCAGGAGGAGGTGAGTAGAGTGTGAAACATTTAGGATGCCTCTGATCCTGGAGAGGATGTGATGTCAGACTGGACCCTGATGTTGTGCTTGTTCCCAGGAGGCAGCAGCAGCCTCCATGTGGCTCCGGTACCAGACCCTGACCTCGGCTCTGTCGCAGCAGCTCTGCGAGCAGCTCCGCCTCATCCTGGAACCCACGCAGGCCGCCAAGCTCAGGTCAGACCTCAGACAGCCGCTTCACATTAACGTGCCCCACCCCCACCGATGATGATTATGTGTGTGTGTGGCCTCTCCTCAGGGGGGATTACCGCACAGGGAAGCGTCTGAACATGCGGAAGGTCATCCCGTACATCGCCAGCCAGTTCCGCAAAGACAAGATCTGGCTGAGAAGGACCAAGCCCAGCAAGAGAGAGTACCAGATCTGTCTGGCAGTGGACGACTCCTCCAGCATGGTGGACAACCACTCCAAGCAGGTAGGAGGCCTGAGGAGGGGGCTGAAGGGAGGGGGGGTACAGTAACCTCTGAAACATCTTAGTCATGGAAACCCATTCAGTTCTTCTTGTAACGGATCCTCTCCTCTCCTACAGCTGGCGTTTGAGTCGCTGTCTGTGATCATCAACGCTCTCACCCTGCTGGAGGTGGGACAGGTGTCTGTGTGCAGGTGACTCCACAGCTTCTGCCTTTTCATGCTGCTGCATTCACTCAGAAATGATGTGATATTAGCCCAGTCAGGAGGATAAATCATTGTAACTTGTTTCTAGTTTTGGCGAGCAGATGCAGCTCCTGCATCCTTTCCAGCAGCAGTTTAACGACGAGTCCGGCGCGCGAATTCTCCGCCTCTGTCAGTTCCAGCAGAAGAAGACCAGGATCGCACAGGTGGGAGTTCATCCTGAAACCCTGATGTCTGGGCTGAAGGCCGCAGAGGTCAACCCTCAGCCACGGAGGTTGGAGGTCAACCCCTGGCTGCGAGGCTCGACCCCCGGTGGCAGTAGTCGACCTCTGGCCACGAGACTCGACCCGTGGCGGCAGAGGTTGACCTCTGGTCGCGGGGCTCGACCCCCGGTGGCAGTAGTCGACCTCTGGCCGCGAGACTCGACCCCTGGCGCCAGAGGTTGACCTCTGGCTGCAGGGCTCGACCCCCGGTGGCAGTAGTCGACCTCTGGCCACAGGGCTCGACCTCTGGCCGTGAGACTCGACCCCCGGTGGCAGAGGTTGACCTCTGGTCGCGGGGCTCGACCTCTGGCCGCGAGACTCGACCCCCGGTGGCAGAGGTTGACCTCTGGTCGCGGGGCTCGACCTCTGGCCGCGAGACTCTATCCCCGGTGGCAGAGGTTGACCTCTGGTCGCGGGGCTCGACCTCTGGCCGCGAGACTCTATCCCCGGTGGCAGAGGTTGACCTCTGGCCTCGGGGCTTGACCCCTGGCTGCGAGACTCGACCCCTGGCAACAGAGGTTGACCTCTGGCCGCGGGGCTTGACCCCTAGCAGCAGAGGTTGACCTCTCGCCGCGGGGCTTGACCCCTAGCAGCAGAGGTTGACCTCTGGCCGCGAGACTCGACCGCTGTCTGCTGACTTCTGTTTAAACTTTCATCAGTCTAACGGTCTTCTCTTTCTCTAACCCAGTTTCTGGAGACGTCAACGAAAATGTTTCTGTCGGCCCGGCAGCACATCCCAGGATCCATAACCTCTGGTGAGACCAGCATTCTGCATCCTGACCTCCTGTTTCTTTACCCTAGAGCCGCCCCCCTACAGCCCCATGGCATCTTTTATGTAGAAGGTCCTGAGTTTTGGAGCCTTTGTCAGTTTCCCAGATGTTGCTGACAATAGTTAGAATGATTAAGGACCATGGACAGCTCCCACAGGAGACCAGTCTGTGCCCAGGACCCTGGATAGAACTTCTATAGAACCATGGCACCTAGATTTACTCATTATATTGATGATGAATATTGTTAATGATGAGAGCAACGTTAGTGATAATGGTAATAATACATCTTAATAGCAATAATGAACATTTTTACGATAACACAAAAATAGCGATAATGATCATAATAGTTGCTCATAAAAAGTGTTATTAAATGATAATGGTATTGATACTGGTAAGTATAAATAATGATATAATAATAAAATGAATCTTTATATTAATGATGATGAATAACGGAATCAGATAAAGGTGGGTTTGTGGACCGCCGCTCTGTGTCAGACTGGGTATTTAGGTTCAGAACCTTCCAATGTTGTTTATCTTTTTGACCTTCTTTCCTCCTGTGACCGTCTCTCCTTCAGAGACGGCCCAGCTGCTGCTCATCGTGTCCGACGGCAGGGGGCTGTTCCTGGAGGGCAAGGAGCGCGTGATGGCAGCCGTGCAGGCGGCGCGCACCGCCAACATCTTTGTGATCTTCGTGGCGCTGGACAACCCCAACACTCGGGTAAGGCGGAGACCGCTTTGCTCCATCTCTACCTGTAGCTCTGCGTTTAACTCTCTGTTTGGTGCAGGACTCCATCCTGGACATCAAGGTGCCCGTTTTCAAAGGACCTGGAGAGTTACCAGAGATCCGCTCCTACATGGAGGAGTTCCCCTTCCCTTTCTACGTCATCCTGCGAGACGTCAACACCTTGCCGGAGACCCTGAGCGACGCACTCAGGCAGTGGTTTGAACTCATCACCGCTGCTGACCAATAAACAGACGAGGAGCTTCATCCTCAGGAGGAAGATCGGATCTGCTGCTGCTTCAGGAAACTTTCCTTTTGTGCCTTTAATGGGAGGTTTCCCAGCACTTTGACTCACAGACCAACATCAGGCAACATCAACGACTCTTCTGAAGGTCATGATGTTCTAGAGGGGGACTAATAATGTGCCTTGGAGAAGCCAGCAGGGTGAAAGCCCTGTCAGGATATCCACCTACAGTCATTATTTCCATGTTTGGTTCAGCTGCTGTCGACATGGAAAGCCTCACAACACGTGTAGGAAACTTTTTAATGTGAACATGAGCAGAAATGAGCAGTTATGTCATCTTTACCTGCTGCTGTGAATAATGAAAATAATTTATGGTTGTTCCACAGAGAGAAAGAAAACGCTTCTTCTCCTCCACAGATTGCAACCATTTGTTTAACCAATGATAATAAAGATTTATGGCTCAGATTTTTTATTGTTTGTTTAAGATAGGCTCTGTCTCTACACCTTGCAGGTTTCTCTCCAGTTTTTTTTTTCCTGAAAAGAGATCACTCAGGACAAACTCTTTGAAAAACACTTCATAATGTTCATGTATTAAATAACCAGGAGGCATGACAACAGATTCAGATCAGAGAAGTTGCTTAGAGTTACAAAAGGCAGCTGCATTCCCCTTCGGGCTCACATCTCAGGAAGTGGACGTCAATCACAGTTAGAAAAGCATTTTATTCATCTCCAGTCTGCGGCATCATCACATTTTACATGTTTGTAAATGAGGAGACATCCATGGCTGCAGCCTTATCACAATATTACACTTTGTTCTTAGTGGAAGGACACCGCTCTCATTCCATTCCCACATCATTGCCACATACAGAATGAAGACTGTTGAAAACATCAGTTCTAACACGCAACAGGCAGCTGATTTTAAGGTGTAATAAACTCACACATCATCAGTGATAATTATTCTGTTATATAATGATAATTTAAACTACATTTCCCTGATCAGCAGGCGCTGCACAGCAGTGATCCTGATCCCGTCACTGATCGCTGCGAAAAGGACGTGGTTATAGCAGAAATCCAGTCTGATGAAAAATGGTATAAATGTAGATCAGTGCATCTCATTTCTGATCAAATCAGGGGATACAATTTGAAGTTTTGGTTGAGCTTATAGATTAATAGACATTTAAATTCAGGTTGGATATTTAGACAATAAAAGTAAGCCTTGGACCATCACAGTACTGCTGAAAGGACAGGATCCACACTGGATCCATTATTAGCAGGTATATTTGAAGACTGGGAGAGTTGAGGCACCTTCTAGGCCAAAATAAAAAAAAACAATCCACTGGACTTTGTTTCCAAGTTTGAAGATGTTTCTCTTCCATCCAGGAAGCGTTTTCAATTAAAAATGTCAGAAATAGCGTTGAGTTCCAGGTTTTATACAGTAGCCCAACAAATCCTTGTTTTAGTTAAGAAAACATGCAAATTGAAACGGGTCCCCCCCTTTGGAATGGGGGTCGTTTGGCTTCTTTGTTAGCCTGCAATGCCCCATACCTGTCTATGTCTCTGAAAGGGGGGGTCGTTAAAGGGAATTGTTGGCCTGGCCCAATAGGCGAGGTGATTTGGTCCCCTCTATGGGGGTTGGGGTTGCCATGATAGAGGGGAGGAATCAACTCAATTGCTGCATTGTAGGTTTTTGAAAGCTGAAATCTGAGTCCACCTCCTCTATTAAAGGTTGGTTTTCTTTCTTAACAAAGATGGCTTCCTTCACGCCCCTCTCAAACCACCTGTCTTCTTTGTCCAAAAATGTGAACATGCTGGTCCTCAAAAGAATGTCCTTTGTCCATAAGGACATTGGGCCATGCTTTTAGGTCAACTTTTGTGTCATAAACAGTACTTGAGTTAAGGGGGGGTTACATTCCTCTTCTTAAATGACCACCCCCCCCATACCATCCACTGTGACATTTATTACTGAATGTGTAAAATCTCTACTTTATATTAACAGTAATGGCAATAATATTGCCTTTTTAACATTTGGTGGGCTGTGGGCTTACGAGTAGCCTGAGCAAAATAAATAAAATCAAAGTGTCCTAGCATGACTATGAAGCTGATCCCAGAGGGAAATGAAACCCTAACTATGTAGGGGCAGTGATAGCCATGCTAACTATGTAGGGGCAGTGATAGCCAGGCTAACTATGTAGGGGCAGTGATAGCCATGCTAACTATGTAGGGGCAGTGATAGCCAGGCTAACTATGTAGGGACAGTGATAGCCATGCTAACTATGTAGGGGCAGTGATAGCCATGCTAACTATGTAGGGGCAGTGCTAGCCATGCTAACTCTGTAGGGGCAGAGATAGCCATGCTAACTGTGTAGGGACAGTGATAGCCATGCTAACTGTGTAGGGACAGTGATAGCCATGCTAACTGTGTAGGGACAGTGATAGCCATGCTAACTGTGTAGGGGCAGTGATAGCCATGCTAACTATGTAGGGGCAGTGATAGCCAGGCTAACTATGTAGGGACAGTGATAGCCATGCTAACTATGTAGGGGCAGTGATAGCCATGCTAACTATGTAGGGGCAGTGCTAGCCATGCTAACTCTGTAGGGGCAGAGATAGCCATGCTAACTGTGTAGGGACAGTGATAGCCATGCTAACTATGTAGGGACAGTGATAGCCATGCTAACTATGTAGGGACAGTGATAGCCATGCTAATTGTGTAGGGACAGTGATAGCCATGCTAACTGTGTAGGGACAGTGATAGCCATGCTAACTGTGTAGGGACAGTGATAGCCATGCTAACTATGTAGGGACAGTGATAGCCATGCTAACTGTGTAGGGACAGTGATAGCCATGCTAACTGTGTAGGAGCAGTGATAGCCATGCTAACTGTGTAGGGACAGTGATAGCCATGCTAACTATGTAGGGGCAGTGATAGCCATGCTAACTATGTAGGAGCAGTGATAGCCATGCTAACTATGTAGGAGCAGTGATAGCAATGCTAACTCTGTAGGGGCAGTGATAGCCATGCTAACTATGTAGGGACAGTGATAGCCATGCTAACTGTGTAGGGACAGTGATAGCCATGCTAACTATGTAGGGACAGTGATAGCCATGCTAACTGTGTAGGGACAGTGATCGCCATGCTAACTATGTAGGGACAGTGATAGCCATGCTAACTGTGTAGGGACAGTGATAGCCATGCTAACTATGTAGGGACAGTGATAGCCATGCTAACTATGTAGGGACAGTGATAGCCATGCTAACTGTGTAGGGACAGTGATAGCCATGCTAACTGTGTAGGGACAGTGATAGCCATGCTAACTGTGTAGGGACAGTGATAGCCATGCTAACTGTGTAGGAGCAGTGATAGCCATGCTAACTGTGTAGGGACAGTGATAGCCATGCTAACTGTGTAGGGACAGTGATAGCCATGCTAACTGTGTAGGGACAGTGATAGCCATGCTAACTATGTAGGGGCAGTGATAGCCATGCTAACTATGTAGGAGCAGTGATAGCCATGCTAACTATGTAGGAGCAGTGATAGCAATGCTAACTCTGTAGGGGCAGTGATAGCCATGCTAACTATGTAGGGACAGTGATAGCCATGCTAACTGTGTAGGGACAGTGATAGCCATGCTAACTATGTAGGGACAGTGATAGCCATGCTAACTGTGTAGGGACAGTGATCGCCATGCTAACTGTGTAGGGACAGTGATAGCCATGCTAACTGTGTAGGGACAGTGATAGCCATGCTAACTGTGTAGGGACAGTGATAGCCATGCTAACTATGTAGGGACAGTGATAGCCATGCTAACTGTGTAGGGACAGTGATAGCCATGCTAACTGTGTAGGGACAGTGATAGCCATGCTAACTATGTAGGGACAGTGATAGCCATGCTAACTGTGTAGGGACAGTGATAGCCATGCTAACTGTGTAGGAGCAGTGATAGCCATGCTAACTGTGTAGGGACAGTGATAGCCATGCTAACTATGGAGGGGCAGTGATAGCCATGCTAACTATGTAGGAGCAGTGATAGCCATGCTAACTGTGTAGGGACAGTGATAGCCATGCTAACTGTGTAGGGACAGTGATAGCCATGCTAACTGTGTAGGAGCAGTGATAGCCATGCTAACTGTGTAGGGACAGTGATAGCCATGCTAACTGTGTAGGGACAGTGATAGCCATGCTAACTGTGTAGGGACAGTGATAGCCATGCTAACTATGTAGGGGCAGTGATAGCCATGCTAACTATGTAGGAGCAGTGATAGCCATGCTAACTATGTAGGAGCAGTGATAGCAATGCTAACTCTGTAGGGGCAGTGATAGCCATGCTAACTATGTAGGGACAGTGATAGCCATGCTAACTGTGTAGGGACAGTGATAGCCATGCTAACTATGTAGGGACAGTGATAGCCATGCTAACTGTGTAGGGACAGTGATCGCCATGCTAACTGTGTAGGGACAGTGATAGCCATGCTAACTGTGTAGGGACAGTGATAGCCATGCTAACTGTGTAGGGACAGTGATAGCCATGCTAACTATGTAGGGACAGTGATAGCCATGCTAACTGTGTAGGGACAGTGATAGCCATGCTAACTGTGTAGGGACAGTGATAGCCATGCTAACTATGTAGGGACAGTGATAGCCATGCTAACTGTGTAGGGACAGTGATAGCCATGCTAACTGTGTAGGAGCAGTGATAGCCATGCTAACTGTGTAGGGACAGTGATAGCCATGCTAACTATGGAGGGGCAGTGATAGCCATGCTAACTATGTAGGAGCAGTGATAGCCATGCTAACTATGTAGGAGCAGTGATAGCAATGCTAACTCTGTAGGGGCAGTGATAGCCATGCTAACTATGTAGGAGCAGTGATAGCCATGCTAACTGTGTAGGGGCAGTGATAGCCATGCTAACTCTGTAGGGGCAGTGATAGCCATGCTAACTATGTAGGGGCAGTGATAGCCATGCTAACTATGTAGGGGCAGTGATAGCCATGCTAACTGTGTAGGGACAGTGATAGCCATGCTAACTATGTAGGAGCAGTGATAGCCATGCTAACTGTGTAGGGACAGTGATAGCCATGCTAACTATGTAGGGACAGTGATAGCCATGCTAACTGTGTAGGGACAGTGATAGCCATGCTAACTGTGTAGGAGCAGTGATAGCCATGCTAACTGTGTAGGGACAGTGATAGCCATAATAACTATGTAGGGGTAGTGATAGCAATGCTAACTCTGTAGGGGCAGTGATAGCCATGCTAACTATGTAGGGGCAGTGATAGCCATGCTAACTATGTAGGAGCAGTGATAGCAATGCTAACTCTGTAGGGGCAGTGATAGCCATGCTAACTATGTAGGGGCAGTGATAGCCATGCTAACTCTGTAGGGGCAGTGATAGCCATGCTAACTCTGTAGGGGCAGTGATAGCCATGCTAACTGTGTAGGAGCAGTGATAGCCATGCTAACTAT